TTTTCTCTCTTTCTCTCCTTTTTTTTTTAAAAAAAAATCCTAGGCGGAGCTTTATAATTTCAGTATGATCCTCAAGGAGCTCGACAACATCTTGGGTTGATTCTCGACAGTTTCCGAACAGCATTGCCTTTATGACAGGAGACCATCGTGCCAGTGCCCATAAGCAAACGCGAAAGCACATTGCTTCGTCATGCTTGTGACCTCCGCCGATGAGTTCGCACCCACTTGCGCCAACGACTAAAATCAGATCACCAAGCTCGTCAATGTCGATAATGGACGGGTCCCTGACCACAAACGGGCAAATATCCGTGTCACCGGAATGGGCATCTTCGGACATTTGGTCTTGCATCTCGATTGATTCATCGACGTCGAAATCCATGTGACTTGCCGTGGTGTTGATGTGTCAATCCGTAGCAAGAAACCGAGATGGAAGAACTGTTAGAGACTTGTAGTTGGTTGATTTTCTCTGCATCGGGTTGTGGTTGTGAACAGATGGGGGCAAATAGTGCAAACGCGAGTGTCCGTGGTAATCGACTTTGGTGGTACTTTGCCGTTTCACACAACTCTCTACACATCACGATAATGCAGACAATCAATGTACATGATCACACATTTGAAACGCGAGAAGCTATGATTTACCATGTCATTCTTTCTTGATTTCTCTATAGTAAATCCGCTTTGAAAGTTCCTATAGCTGGGTCTATGCAATTTGCTACCAGAATACAGATCATCACCCACCAAAGACAACTGTGGCGGATTTACACGATTTCTACCAACGCATCTCCCTCGGCAGCTTGGTAACACTCCATGAGATGGTATTATCCTGGGATACGCTGCGTATCGAACAATTGTATTTTAGTTCAGACCCTTCGGTCACGAACCATTCGGGATAGGTAGGGCGCAAACCAAACTCTTCTGCTCTCAACAACAATGAGTCCACAATGGATCTCGGTGGCCAAGGGTATTCTTGCGTGTCGTTGAGCCTCGGCGTAAATGGCCTCATTTGTTTGACTAGGGCTTGTGGAATAGGACAGTCAGGATGGATCTGGGTGTAATCTGACCACAAACTTCGTTTGATTTTGGCACAAAAGTAACCAGTCGCCTCGTGTACGCTTTCCGGATTTGGCAGCGGCCATAGAGACTCCTTGTTGAGATCTCTCATCAGCGCTCCCAAGGTGTATGCCTTGCATTGGCTTTGGAGATGCTGTGTGTCTTGATTGCAGGCGTAAAGGCTAGAATCATTTTCACCGAGAAAACTACCGATTGCCTCATGAATGGGATCCAGGATACCCTTAATTTGGTGCAATCGGACTTTGCGGAGACTATCTGTGTTATGAAAGTTAGCCGTGTCGTAGAAAGACATCCAAGGCCCCTGTTTGTTACCTGCGACGCCGTCTGGCTCGATACTAGTGGCGAAAAGCTTTTGGTCTCTTCGTTGACTCCAGACTAGGTCAGAGAAAACGACCGCATACAATTGTAGATGGCCGAAGACGCTGGCAATGAACAGCGATTTTTCCATCTTCTTGTATCTAACTGCATGAGGACAAGAAGGGAAGAATCTATTGCCCTTGAGGAGAATTGAGGCCCAATCCCTCGCCCATGTACGAAGATGGTGTGACATGAGGTATCTGTTTGCAAGGGCCACCATTTCGTAAACCTCATCGACAAAGATGGGATCTGGCTGACTCACGTCGTGCTTGAGGGTAAAGTCGTAGACCGGAGTCAAATTACCATGTGAAAGTTGCAAAAGCATCTCCATGGCAGCGGTGTCATCTTCGGGAAAATTAATGGTATCCTGAGTTGCCGCAGTGAATTTTCCGAAAAGCATCGCTCGCATAACGGGAGAAGAGCGTGCCAGAGCCCGAGAGCATATACGGAAAGACTTTGCCTCCTTGTGTTCGTGGGTTCCATCTGCCATGATCTTGCACTGATTCGTGCCAACGACCAGAATTCGATCACCGCGCACGTCAACGTCAATGATAGTGGGAACCTGGATGAGGAAAGGACACGGCTCGGGGGGTTGGGGAGGAATGTGTCGCTTCTGCTCGCCCTCGGGTGATTCGACTGCTTTGCGTTTTGATGCCATGATTGCGCTTCACCGTTGCGCTGGGGATTCTTGATTGTTGCAATGTGCAAGAGTTTGTTGAATCTGGAGAGGGAGCTTGAAAGGATTAATTGGTGGTGATCTTCGGGTTGTTGGGTCCTCATGCGTTGGCACGGGGCAGTGTGGTTGAAGAGATGGCAAAAGCAATTGGTAAGTGCAGAGAAAGGAAACGGTGCAACCATGTATGGAAGCGCCGACTGGTTTGACGTAATACTTTGCCCTTTGACACAGCTGTCGGATTGCTTTCTGCCCCGCCAGACTTGAAGAAAAAGTCAATGCAAGTAACAATTGTGTCGTTAATATTTGGTGTGTCTATCCTCAAGCCCACATAGCTAGGTACAATGCAATTGCCATGTCACGAGAGTGCTTTCAAAGAGTGCTTCCAATAAATCGTAGACACATGGACCAGAAAGCATTTGGAGAGCTGAAGGTTGGAGCGAGTGATTTAAAGTCCGAATTATCTCATCATAATGTACATTACCCATCTATGGCGATGAGCCCTCAAAACATGGCCGAATCCAAGCGAAAGGCTTCCTGCATATCCTCATCTTCACTACTGTCATCTCCCTCAGGATTCCCAGAATTCTCAAAGTATGGGGGAATGTCTAGGTAGTCCGAATCATACCGAACAACCCAGCGATGAGACTTTTCGCCATGGAGATAAGGGGGGATGAAGTTGCGATGCTTCGAAGTCAAGATTCGCAAGCGAACAGGCACATTCTCCCATGTTTCTCGTTCGGTGGCAGGAGGTCCCGCACTGACGGGCGAGGTATCTTCGGGAATGTCGGCCAAATCCTCTCCGGGGTGTTCCTCCAAAGTGTACCTGTCAATCATCTTGTGTCTCAACTCTTCGAATACTCGTCGCAGTGGTTGATGGTCACCGTCGGCGACATCGTACCTTCTATGATGACCAAAAAAGTGCAGGGGAATTCGGTAGAGACGGAGATCAACTTGAAAGCCCTCTTGGCGCCTTGAAGCGCTCTTCAAGCACTCGGTAAGCTTGGGTAGCCGCGCCAAAACATTCTCAGCTCCACCGCGAAAGGTCAATGGGCTCAGGTCCTGCAGAACAAGGGTCCTCAAATTGGGCGGCGGCTGGTCAAGTCGAACTGACCAGTTGAGCTTGAGGTATGAAAGCGACCGAAAGTTGGCAAGGTTGAACGCGGTGAGGGGGCGACTGGACATCATTCCCCTGGGGTCATGGTGGCCCGAAAAGTCAAACTCCTCGAGTGATTCTGCCTGCAGTTCCAGAGCTTCGTGGGAGGTCTCCACGTCATCTCTGAGAAAGTCGTACGACAATGTGTCTGTTGCATGGTGGGTGACTTCGTGGAGAGTCAAGCGCTTGAGTGCTGTTGGATAGGACAAGATCTGCTCCAGCGCGCGTGGGGATACTACGCTCTCGACAAAGGATAAGGACTCGAGCTTTGTTGACTTGGCAAACTGGGATATGTCGCGATCTTCGTCTTCCACTCTAATCTTGACACACGATACGGTGAGGCTTTGCAATTCCGGCAGTAAAAATATGGGACACAACGGTGTCGTTCTCCAGAATCGTGAACTGATGCTGCCGGTCCAGTGCAGGATCACTAAGTATAGTATAAGTTCACCGGCATCCCATTGGGAAAGAGGTGTTACACTGACCGGATTTCAGAAAGCCAAGAGGCTTGGCGCAGGATGGAATACTGGAAAGCAATGACGCCTGCTCAAAAGCTCTCAGATAGGCCTGCATATCAGCTTGCCAAACGCTCTCGCTCTTTGCCCCGATCCGCGCATGGGAATTGCAAAACGGGCTCTCGGAAACAAATGAGTTTAGACATGGAAAGAAGCAAAGATCGACGGGTGCCGTGTTTTGAAAGTCATGATGCCGCGTTGAATAGACCAGTTGCAGATCATGAACGTAAGTCGCACGTCGGGGATCTGCTCTGCAAAGCTCTAGCAGGCGATTTGCAGAAGCGCGCCGCGTGCATAGTACGTGACTATAGAGGCATATCTCGACGACCTGCTGGAACTTTTTGCAGGTTCGTGCTGTGGCTTGAAGTGCCTCGGTATCGGCTATTTGTTGGAACACGAGCAAGATGAGCTCCGTCGGCAGCGACTCTAGGGCCATGGCAATAGTAAAGCGACCACTAAAGAGGGATCCAAAGAGTCATTTGCGCGATTCTGGCAATGATGATATTTCTTGAACCAAGAACCCGAACAATGTTAGCTCGGCAGCAGCAGCAGCATCATCAAACAGCTCAAGGTAGATGAATGGTGTTGTGTAACGTGTCCAGGTACCTACCTCCTACCCATCAACTAGGCAACAAACTCGAGGGGTTGTAGCTAGGTCCGCTAGGCGATGAGGGGAGCTCCAAGCTCGGGAAACATGGGGCACCGACAATTCCTTCACATGCAAAAGAGACACGCAAGTGGCCACCAGGTGTCAGATTTGCCGCGTCAGAGTATAATCCCTAAGATCGTGGCTCGTTGCGTGCAGCTTTGAAAATTTGCCAAATTAGCATAATTTCATATGGTACAATGTGATGGATCGCAACAACAATGCTTTTGATGGATTACAGAGACCCAGCGTCGTCTTTGCGGGCGTGTTGCTGAACACATGGCCTAAAGCACAAACCTCCGAGATCGCAGGGACCAACCCCACGACCACTGTGGCGTTGAGTTATCCGTCAGCTGGGGAGTAAGCCAAGCTTTAGCCAAGCCAGCACCATCTCCTGTAATTAGCTGAATTTATGAACTCGTTGAAATATGGCAAGACTATAAATGCAAATCTAAGTCGATCAATGCCATGTCGAGCAGGCTGAGAGACACGGGAGGGTGTGGGGGCAAGAATTATGGACATGCACGCGGCAGGACAGCGGAGGGCAGAGAAAGAGAATGAAACATCGGAATACCCTCCCTAGTTAGTTGACAGGCGGTCTTGTCAAAAGCAGACTGCAGGGCTGTATGTGACTACATGCAAGCAACTCCGCAACTCACAGCTCGGTTACAGGTGGCAGTAGGGTACATTTCTCAGGATTCTTCCACCTTCAATATTCCACTATCCCTAATGCACAGCCCGAGATTACAGGCATAATAGGTACGACCATGTAATGTGCGGTCGCACTGAATGCCAACGGTAGATGCGCATCTACGTACCCTGTACCTAGACAGCCACATATGCTATTCTTAGTGCTTCCCAAGGAAGAATACTTAGAGCTTTGTACCAATAAAAAAAACCTTACGGAATCATGTGCTGTGGAAACATTGAAGGAACTTGAGAGTAACTGGATCTCTTTACTACATGAATCATGATCATCTATTATCGCTGTGACACTGTATTCAGATGATTTTCAGGTCGCAACCTTTGTACGATTTCTAATATTCTATACAACCTCTTTCCAAATGTTTCCTGTCATCGTTTCGGTAACAAGAGCAGGCATCACACCCGTAGATGGAGTGACGAGGACAAAATTGTCGCCGGTGACATGGAAATCCTCCGCCTTTGTCGATGGAAACTGGAACTCGAAGCTTTGCACGATACTACCAAGAAGCAAGTAGATTTCGGCCCAAGCCAGACTATTTGACATCGTCAGTTGGTAGTTACGTGATAGATTGTACAGCGCGACTTACTGCATTCCGATGCAATTACGCTTTCCTTTTCCGAAAGGCACAAAGGTCTTGTTGCCTAGGTGCCACGGGTCTGGGTCTATCCATCGGTCTGGGTTAAAGCGCTGGGGCTCTGGGTAATCCTCCTCGTTCTGGTGGAGCAAGTGTATGGTCATTCCAACGGGTGTGCCCGCTGGGATTCGCCAGTCTGCGTAGACGAGGTCCTTGTCTTGGGAAACTCGAGCGCTGCGAGTAGCAATAGCGGGAGCCAAGCGCATAGCTTCCATAATAATGGCTGTTAGGTAAGGAAGCTGCTCGAGCGTCTTCCAATCATGGTTGGCGGCAGCAGCAATTTCCGCCCGTAGCTTTTCGAAGATCTTGGTGTCGCTATAGATGTGGAAGACTGCGATCCGCAGAACAGCGGCCGTTGTCTCGAAGCCGGCACCAGTGGTGGTGGACATATCGTCAAATATTCTCTCAAACGATTTCTCGGCAGCCGGAAGTTTGGATTGCACAATTTCATGGACCAGAGTGCGTGGGCCGTCGTCATCTGGAGTGATTGCCGCCTTCATGAAATTCCTGGTATCGTTCATGGAAATCTAGACGCAAACACACGCACGGTGCGTATTAGTCACAGGTGAAAATGACACATCCAAAGCTAGCAACTTACAATCATAAAGCGGAAAAACTCCTTTATAACAGGATCGGCGACCGCAATAATCCACTGGGGCGGAATTGACCGCATGAAAGGACCGAAGAAGCGTATGAACTTGGTAGTTCGCCACAAGAGACCCCCGGCCTGCGCTGCAACTGTTATACCGGCATCGAAATCCTCTTTTCCGAGATCATTGTAATGCTTTCCGAAAATGTACTCGTTAACAACATCTCGTACGAAAGCTGTGAGGGCGGCGCCGAGGTCAACAGTTTTTTGAGACGCGGCAAAGCCCGACAGTCTGGCGAAAAGCGCCTGGACATGTCTCATAATCATGTCTTGCTGGTTCGACACCTTGGCCTTAGAGAAGAAGGGACTCAGGGGCAGGCGACGATTCTTGTGCAAGGTGTGGTCAGCCGTCCAGAGGGTCGCGCCTTTGGTTGCAAAGGCATCCATGGCCCAGTCGTATTTGTGCCAGATTCCTTCCTGGCGATTGTAAAGTGTTTCAAAGAATGCTGCATCATTCACGTGAAGCTCCCAGGGGCTGATACGGATAATGGGACCATTTTTTTTGTGTAATTCAGCTATCTTGAAGGTATACTGGCCGTTTTGGTAAAGATCGTAGTAACCTTCGTACAATCGCGTCACGGCCGCGAGCCTAGGCCCAGGGAAACGAGCCAGGGGATGCAGGTATAATCGGTAGAGCGCAAGTGTTACATAATAGAGTAGAATAGTTGCAGTGATGCTCTGCCAAGACAGCAAACTGGAGAGAGCTTCCATAGCGTCAACAGCAGAAATATCGGGTTCTGCCAAAGATGATAGTGGGGTTCGGGAAGCAGTGGCGGGAGTCCTCCGACGTTATAGAATCACCTATCGATTGTTGTAGCAAGGTTCTACGGAAGAGGACGAGGGATTTAAAGAGTGCGGAAGGGACAAGAAAAGTTCAGAACCTCTTGGATAAAAGTACATTCAAAAAAGAAGAAGCATCAAGGCATGCACGGCCGAGCAAAAACAGCTAATTAAATTCCATGACCATCATTGATGCGCATGTCCTAGGAGGTAAAATTGCCGTCCTAGGTACAAAGTGCGTGTGTCATATTATAAGGCGGTTGGTTGTAAGGCAGGTACTGGATATACGCACCCCGCTCTCTCCACCCTGTTCCCTACACACTTGGGAGTTCTAGTAAAGGCAAGGAACTAAATGCAAATATGCTAAGGCTAAAAACAAAAGGATTTACCCGTAGGATTGTGTTAGTGCTCAATGGTGCACACTGCATGAGGTATCGATGGGGAAGAAGGGGACCAAATAGGAGGTACGGTATATCTATATACTCCGTATGGCGTCTTGACCACTGTTCAAGGAGGCTGCCTCTAGGTAAAAATATGCTGTCACATATGCGCTGCGTCAGCAACCCTTCCAGATAGACATAATTTACAATCACTATCTCGAGTCCTATTTGACTATCACTCTATCAACCCTGCTATACTTTTGGAGTTTTCGCGTGGATGTGATTGGTGAATCCGCCAGCCTCGTCTCGCTTGCTCGTCTTCCTTAAGATCCCTGGATGCAACAGGTTCTCGCGGATGAATCATGTCACCCTTAAATCCTTCACTACATTCTCCGTATATCCCAGACCTCGCACCAAGGTCGTAAAAAGAAACCAGGAGCTTCAGCAGCCAGTTCGAGCATCCCTGCCAAAACACGAAAAACGTCGTCAAACAAACGGCCCCAAGCTCGATCATGTCATTCAATCCACCCAAGCCACCACTCTTTGAGCCAATGGCAGACGTGCCCTGGTTACAGATGTCGTTAGAATATTCCTTAAACAGCTGCATGCTGAGAGATCTCGATTTATAGGGTTGATTCAAGAGCAAACTATTTGAAAACCTTTAATTCCGTAGCGAATAATTTAAGCCATATATAAAAAATAATAAATTTAAAAGAAAAGGAAATAAAAAAAGGAAATAAAAAAAGGAAATAAAAAAAGGAAATAAAAAAAGGAAATAAAAAAAGGAAATAAAAAAAGGAAATAAAAAAAGGAAATAAAAAAAGGAAATAAATTAATATTTAATAATAATATTCTTTCTTTCTTTTTTTAAATTCTTTTTTATATATTTATATCATATTATTACTTTTTCTTATAGCAACGGTAATGTGCGCCTATAAGGCCAAATGTTGAATTTTCTTTTTTCAACAGTTTGCTCTCTGGTGCTCCGTAGGTACGATACTTGCAATGCCGAATGAAGACACACTCGCGAGGAATGTCGCGTCAGTACCCTTGGAGTCTTGCGGCTGTTTTTTTTTTTTTTTTTTGGCAGAGAATCTCTCAATCTGCTGCCCGATGCGGCCGACGAGATCGAATTCCCGTGAGATCTACACGCTCGACTCGTTCTTCACACCATGTTCCCAGATCGAGGGTTGTGGTCCGACGCCCGTCAGTCGCACCGTCACTGTCGGATACGAGAAAATGTGACTGCTCAGCTCTTATCTGCCCCTAAAAAGGACTCGAGATTCTATCTACCACCAGAGGCCATGAAGAAGACAATGCTCGCCAGAGCGGAGGACTTTCACTTTCCTCGGCCTGAGTGAGGTTGGACGCAACATTGGAAAGTACCTAGTTGAGTAATGTATTGGTATCGTGTCTATGGAATTTCAGAATGAAGGATCAGGGCGAAAGTCTTGCCATCAGCCAGTAGTGTGCATCTAGGATCAGTAGCAACCAGAATGAAGTCTCCTCCAGCCTAAATGAACACAATACATCAGCCGTGACGCCATGTATGCTGAGAATCAAGCGTATCTCTGGAATCATCAGGGTTAAAGTCCACATTTCTCAATGAAGGGGCATCAATTGCTTGGCTACCCATGGTAGTGGTTACTAGTCGACTCATTTTTTTCGAACAAAGTGCAACGAAATAATCATTGAGATAAACACCCACCAGCTCAGACGCGAAACAAAAACACAGACGCGTTTGCAAACGCAATTCCCATTTTTACAAGCGGCCGCCTTTATTCTTACTCTGCCCCCACATTCTCTCGAACAATTACACGCGTGAGCACTCAACATTTTTACGTCTTGAACCTGCATATTCACTCAATTCAATTGATCCCACTGTGTCATCAGAGCTTCAACTTTTTTCGACCACGACAACACCAGTGGCACCTCAGTTCTCCATCCATCTCAGTACAGAATCAGTCCCCTGAGTCGCAGCCATGGAGTCCGACGAGTTCCCAGATCACAACGACGACGCACCTACCTGCACGTTTCTGTGTGAAGTTCCTGGCATCGTTGACATCGATGAGCGCGGCGATCGCGTTCTGCATATCGGTACCAACAAGTGCGAGATCGACAACGACGGCAATCACCACCACACGGAAGCCATGCGCTTTCGTGTTTGCTCGCGAGCCTTATCGCGGCTCTCACCTGTACTGGGGGTCTTGTTTTTTGGCCCTTTCCTTGAGGCAAATCAAGATATGGTCTACCTACCTGAGGATGATCCAAAAGCCATGAAGATATTGCTCTATATTGCACACGGTCAAATCGACCCTGTCTACGAGGTTGCCGACAGATATCCGGGCGATGAGGACAGCCATCGACTGTTAGAAGATCTCTACGATATTTTTGTTGTTGCAAATAAGTATCTGGTCACTCAACCACTTCGCCCATGGACATCTAGCTGGTCTTCGGCATTGTTGCCCTTGACTCGTCCAAGTTCGAACATCAAAGACCATTGCGAAAGACTTGAAAAGCTGTTGTATATCTCCAGCGAGGTTGGCCATTTCGAGATGTATAACAAGGCATTCCTCAGCTTGGTTTCCCACCACCAAAATGATAGGGAAATGTTCTCTACTACTCTTGAGCCAGATGGTGTCAAAGGTAATGATTCCTTCACCGCACAATTCAGTGGAAAGAGCTAACATGTTGGTCCTCAGACCGGGTCTTCTCAGTTCGATTGCGGCTCATTGAGGAAACGCTAGGTGCATTGAAGGAACTCATTGACCCCTTCCTTGACGACAATGTAGAAGCCAGCGACTATGACTGCAGTGCAAAGGGACCAATGACCCAGATCAACTGTCGATTACACACTCTGGCAGTCATCCTGCGACACTTGAAGAAGAAATCATTATTTCCGCTGCCCGAGCCAAAGGACGTCATCGAGAGTGCGGCAAGCCTACACGGACGAGTGACTAAGGGTCTATGGTCCGGCCCTACACTCCACAAAGACTGTGCGATTCGACCGCAATTGTCTTCTGCTCTTTCAAACGCGTATACGGTAACGACCAGTCTTTACCTACCACCGGCACCACTGTTCGAAACCATGTCATCTAGAGCCACATATTTCGGCTTCTCACAACCCGTCGAAGAGTCCGAAGCAGGTCCCAATTCAGAGCCTAATGGACTTTCCCAAGACTTCAATTACACGAATGAAGGATGGGGCGGAGAATTGAGCGACTTCCACCATGAAGCAGACCCATGGGGATCTGCCTCAAGTGCTAGCTGGATGAATTGAAGACCGATTTGCGTTGTTTTGTAATGTTACAGGGCTTTGTTGAAGTATTGTTTGGGCTTCAATAGAGATGGATCGCAAGATGCGCAATTAAATTGTGGTTCTGAACTCTCTTCAACTACAAGCTCTAGACCGACCACGTCGGCCAACACTGGTTACATCAATACCGCCACGACCTGCTCCTCTGGTGGTGCCTGTCCCATGGATGGTCAGGTTTAGAGAGCAGCAGAGAATTTGAGGGTATGATGAAGAGTCTGGGAAGGGGAAAAGGCTGTTCTGAGAAAATGCAGATTTACTAAAGGATGCACTGCAGTATTTGCGCGAGGCCACGAGTCTGGATGTTGCACTTTGGCCGTTGGTAGATGGATTTGTTTGCCCTCGGGCTTCTAGACAAGAGTGAATTGACTGTTCTCAGTTTTCAGTTGCATAAAGATCTAGCTCTTGAGCCATGAGTGTTTAAACTTGGGATGCTCAGAGACGTGAAGCTGCCTCTGCTTGTAACACAATCTCGGTACGTGAAGCTTGATGAGGTCTGTACTATGCACGCCCTTGAACATCTCTGGTAACTCTTGATCCTTTTGCTCTGACATGCCTTCTTTGACTTGGGTTCGCCCGATAATGTTTTCTTCTTGTGATGACATACCCCGTCGCAGAGCAGCTGCCTTTTTCTTTTCTCCCTGAATGCTCTCATAGATTTCCAACATTAAAACCTGTGCCACATGTGCCTCGCAGCTCTCGTTGCTCAGGTTCCGCGGGTCAGGGAGAACATCCTTCCAGCTTTTGATTACTCCGTCGTGCTGGGCTGTCCGGAATGACGGTATAGGCAGCCTTTTGATGTCTGGCTCGGCCATCCAAATGCCAGGTTGTAGTTGGAACGTGTTCTTGCCCGTGTACTCATCTACCGCCGCATCTATCTCCTCTAGATCCTCCTCCGTGAGCCCCAATTTCGTAGGATCGGACCCATTGATCAGGATAATGACCTGCTCCTGGACCAGATTGTCATGTGAATATGAGCCCTGCATGATACAGAACTTGGCGCCGGCCCGCTCGCAGCGCCGGCACTGCCCGGCTCTGTATCGGTGTCCGTACCTCTGTGTTCGTTCCGGCGTGGGCGAGTAGTCGCAAGACATGCCACTGTGCGCACAGCGCAAACAGGATCCGAAATGCAGGTTGAAGAAGTTGCGCTCAGCGCAACGCTTCGCCGCAACGGCTCGCTGTTTCTGTATGGCTTCATTGTACTGTCTTTCTGCTTCCTCAACCGATATCGCGTTCTGGCTAGTTTCGCGCTGGATCAGTTTCTCTCGAATTCGTTTCGCAGCAGGACCAATGACCTTGACTGAGCTGACTGGCTCCGGACCAGCCCAAAGCCACATTGACATGGGGTCATTCATGATTGTTCACGGTCAAAGGCCCCGGTTGAAGGGCTTCGCAACGCGAGTGGATTGCCATTGGCCCTTGAACATATATAACTGACGATGGTAAAAGCTTTGCTAACCACAAAGAAGGGTCTCTGTTGTTGTTGTTTTGTGGTTATACTTGTCTCTTTACTTTGACAAAGCCATATATCGGACATGTCAAAGAAACTGACAAGTGAGTGTGGAGGAGGACTTGAGCTCAATAGCAACGGCTTCTTTCATGTATGGGAAACTCGCCATGATGATTCAAGCATTTGATGGAACCACAGACTGTATTGTCTGGACCTTGGCTTGAACATGAGTCTTGGTCTTGTTGGTTGGCTTTTGCCCCGTCTCATCGTTGTCCGCCTTGTGGGACAAAGGGATATGTGACGAGTAGACCGACTCGCGATGGGGCTCAAAGAGATCATGATGCCTCTCACTCATGACATCTGTCAGATTGCAACTGCTAGGTCTTGCGAAAGTAAGTGCCTTGTCTTTATACCTTGGGCATTAGACAGACAACTGGGACACTCCCCGGCACATGTGTTCAACCTTGGGTGACCTTGCTTCTCATACGCTTGGGTGCACCTGTCCAGCTCTCCTCACATTTGGGTGTGACCTACAGGCGGTATTGCTTGGATAAAGGAGAACATACATATGTAGCACATTATGCATGACCCGAAACCGCTAAAGATTTGGTTGTGTATGGTATTGGACCTTGATTATATCCAGGGCCGTCACATATTCTTACCTCACAAATTGCGCATAGTATGGCAATGCATTGAATTGTATAAACATCGAGTCGGATACAGCACATGTGTCTGCAATGAGAACAAAGACGAGCATTCAAGAGATCTTGGAGGAAGCAAGAAGTGTAACCAAACCAAGCCAATCATGTTCATGTTCGGACTCTGAAGGAGGCAGTCCCACACGAACGAGACTTGGGCCACTTCGACAATCTTATCCAGGGTTCAAATGCCTGGCGTTCTTTTGCACATTATTTGAAGACAATGACTTCATTGTGGTCCAGCATGGTACAAAAACATTAAAGACAATCATGTCAGCCTCGTTCCACTATACGCAACCCACTTGGCCGTGACCAACCCAAGCAATTGGCTTTCCATGTCTTTCGCGATCCATCCAGCGCTGCGCACGGACCATATCAAGACAGTCACCGCCTAGGTAGGGCAAGGCCCTGCGCCCGAATTTCTGCCGTGGGCAGCGTTTCAGCATCTATCAAAGTTCAGAGCTTCAGCTCCCCTCCTCCATTCGTTCTCTCCTCACCAACAACCCTCATCAAGAACATTCGGTAAGCTTGGCCCTCCACCCCCAGCGCCCGCGAGTGCATCGCAATGGCAGCAATGGCTTTCGCAGAGCGTTTTGCACTTGTTGCAGAGCTTTGCAGCTTTCGTCTGAGCCGGGCCACCTGATTGCGCAGAGTTGCATCCGGCTGTCTCGTGCACAAACAAGCTTCAAGCAAGCTTTGAGGGCAGCACAACATGGTCACTCCTTCACAATTACTAATACCCATCTTTGCAGGTCAAGATGAGAGCCAAGTGGAGAAAGAAGCGCGTCAGACGTCTCAAGCGTAAGAGAAGAAAGATGAGAGCTCGCAGGTACGTCATAGCCAACTTGGCACAGCTCTACTCACTATGACCTGCACATGCTGACACAATTGCTTCTGCAGCAAATAAACGCCTCGCCACAACTCGATCTCAGTCGTCACTGAGTGAGCGCATCGCCGTGTCTACACAGCACCCATCATGAACGCACCTCAGACCAAACCATCACAACCAGCCCAATGGGCTCATCATTCGACATGTTTCCACGTTTCACGACAAGGATTGTGCGAAGGAATCGCAGCTTGCGGCCAGGAGTGAGGAATTTGGCATGATGGACTCGGCACTTGCAAAGTACAAACTGGTCAATTTCACATCGAGTTACAGGAATGGAGGGTTTTCACGCTGTAAGCCTTTCGGAAGAAGCACGACTGCAAAGAAAGCATGGCAGATCGGAACCATAAGATGGGATTTGTTGCTGAGCAGTTGAATTGACAAGACCTGCTTCTACTGTGCATATTTTGACTTTTTTGATCGTGATTCTGGTGATGGTGACTATGACGAAATGTGCGTGGGGCTCGCGACTATGCCTACTAGTACTATTCGCATTTGAATGATACAATCAGAGGTCATTGAATTCTCATTGTAGACAATCCGCGTTTCGAGACACTTGAACGACATGAAACTTCTTTTCCAAGTACTTCCCATAATCAACTCCAACTACGCCGAGGTCTTTATTCAATTACACCTGCGCCCACCCTGCCACTACAATAGAGCTCCAATAGCTTGAAGTGGGGTTGCTTTTTCTCACCGCCCGGCGCTTTCCTAGTCGTCGAACCCCTGCCATCTCCGGCAGTAAAAAAAAAGTTGACTGTAGAAGCATCGAGTCGGCGAACAAGTGAGGCTTCAGTCTTGAGCAGGAACCCGGCCCATTGACCTTCAAACTACTTCCCTTTCCCTACCGACGACAAGATGGGAGGCGGCCACGAGAAAAAGAGAAAGAGAGGAGAGGAGGGTTCCTCCAAATCCAGAAAAAAGGCGAGCGTGCAGACGCCTGCTCTACCAGCCAGTATCAAGGTCGCCTCGGTCAAAACCGTCAAGACATGCCCCCCAGTCATTGGTACGCTCAACTTGCCGTTCGTCTTTGCGCAAGTCGCCGATACTAAACAGAGAACAGCGACGACTCCTGGCCTATGCCTGCCTGGCGATGTTCAATTTCAGGCCTATTCGAAACCCGAATCCTTCACACCCAAGAAGAGCAAAAAGTCTGCGCCGACGCCCACAAATCTAGTCTTGCACTCGTCCGCACATAGAACATTGGACTACACAGCCAAGGAAGATGGAGTTGGCGGAAACGAATCACATCTCAAGCACTACATTGGCGTGTTTGACCCGGCAACCGGTTCGCTTTCTGTCATGGAAGCCAAGAAGATGGCCGTCAGAGGTGTCGTCCGATCGCAAAAGCCCGCCGCGGACAAGGCGGCAGATAGAGCAGTGTCCAAGGTGAGACTAATCTTTTCTGCATTCCATGTCGTCATGGCACGACACTGACATTTGCAGACAATGACGGAACTGCGCAACGACTTGGGTGAGGCTTTCGGCACAAAGAAGGCACGAAAGGCCATTGCATCCATTACACAGAATGCCATTGCACCGGAAAAGGATATCTTGAGCGCTGGTGGCAGCCCACGCAAGCTCGACGCAACGGCAAAGGCCATGATGGAGTCGATACAAGAAAGCACACGCGGCATGGCGACCAGGGAAGAACTCCAGGCCTCCGTGGACCAGGCCAAGCCGGTGCCTCCTGGCAACTTTGGCGCTACCGAGATCCAGGAGGTTTACAGACCAGAGCAGATGATTGGTGCCGACATACTCATCTCGTGTCCCATCAAGGACTGGCAAGACTCGGCCAAGAATCAGCTGCCTCTGCAGCTACCATACCAGTTCATCTCATCCAACATGTACACCATTGCCGCCGGTCCAAAGTCTACTGACCGGTTAAGACTGTTGCGATACCTCAACTACCTCATCATCTTCATCAAGATTGCCAAGCCGGGCGCTCAGAGAGGCGTGCTGAGAGTCCCGCCGAAGCAGCAACTACACGACAAGATGGAGAATGCGCCGGCACCAGTCATTGAGAGCATACGGAGAAGATTCTCTGCCAATGGCGAGATTAGGAAATTCCACAGGGACCTTTTGATGACGTACAGCTGCGCAATCGCAGCCATTTTGATGAATTACGAGTTTGAGACGAGCGCCCTGAGACAAGACCTGGGCTTGGACGAGAGGCAATTCGCACAGTATTGGAGGGAGATTGGAGGAAAACTGTCCAACCCGGTTGGCAAGGTCAAGGGTACCAAGATGCAGGTGGCCAAGCTGGCCCTGCCTCTAGAGTTCCCACAGGTCAGATTTGTGCAGCGTTCTCGATAAAGAGAGCCATATCCGCCTTGATTTGAAGTTTATGCATTGGGGGAAAAGGAGTCAAAATCATACCCTCGTCGGATTGCAAGAGTTGCTCTACGGAAACATTGATAGAAATGGTCTACAATAGCATCACATCAATACAAATCATCGGTCAATGGAACTTTAGAATAATGCAGAAACATGAAGATGTAAATCGCTATATTAGCCATGAAATACTTTTTCCGGGGACTTTGCACGACTTTTCCTCCAATATTGTCTCGCCCTCAGGCAGTGGACTCGAAAGCAGACTGCTTTTTGTTGCTCAGTGAATATCATAGTTGAGCTAAATTACACAGCACAGGGTCAAAACGTTTAACATTCTACATTCACGATTCATGCAAGCATTCTGTAGAGAGCAAACAATTAGATTCACATATCTATATAAGAGTTGCTCTTTTGGTGAGGGTACATTCCAAGCAGTATTGTGAGTATATACCGAGGAACGTACTCCAAACACCCTGAAATAATCCATTCCGAAATGGTCATACGACTATGGTTGTATGTCCTCCGACTCTATTTATGAGTTCTTCCGGACGGCGGAAACCAATGCATGAAGTACGGCTTCATCGTTACGCTCGATGAACCACGGGCGATGATGTGCCAAGTACCTAATTGTGCAAATCCTCCACAGGAGTATTGCTCGCTTACATCACTCGAGCGAATCTGCCACCTACGATGACCACGATGTCAACCTGCAGCATCTTGATTCGCTGCGGATGAACAATAACATCAAGGACTGGTATTTGATCGTTATCAAAGCTTCTCTGTAGATAAAGGGTCAGCACTGAATATCTTGCTCAACACTGAGCATTATAGAGAAGGGAGGCTGGGCCAATTAGTAGATAAGCTCAAGAGGTGTCTTCCACTTTTACCTTGGCGCCACCTGTGAGTGAAGCAGACCGGACTCGGTGAAGAGGGTCTGGACTCTGTGAGGTTTTGACCTTTGGTGTGTCCAGCATACTGTGATCAGAGTCCTCCTTGACTTCGTCAAGGTCCTGCTTAGTCTTTTCGTGTCTATGGCGTCCAGAGATGGGCTGGCGCTCATTGAGCTTCCTTCTTTTGTCCGCCGGACGGCCGGTGTAGGGTGAAGAGCCCTGCGAGACATGATCCGGAGACAGACTCCGCTTGTTTTTCATCTTTCTGTTGTTCGATTCTACAATGGAATCGACACCGATAACCCATTCCGGCAAACTAACAACCCGTTTCCCCTCTAGAGCTACCGGGTGATTGGTAAAGAGGGTCCACCTCGGGCTATACTTGTTGGCATGATCTGTATTCAGATAATCATTGAATGCCCCTGCCGCTTGATGGTTGGGCGGTGGGCCTGAATTGATCCATATGCCCAGACAGGGGTCCGCTGGGGGAAGCCTTTCGAGTTCTGTACGCACGTCGGCGAGAGCATGGTACTTGAATGTCTTGTAATAAGGACCCCTCCTGGCCTTCTGATCCCTTTTGAACTGGAGATCCTCGTACATTGCTGCGGCAAATGGAGATAGAGGGGGACTCCAGTCACGTTGGCCTCTGTCCTTCATGTCTATCGTTGCCGCCAGAGGTGCCAGACTCTGTCTGGCAAAAATAAACAAATAATTCTCCAGGCTATCTCTCTTGTCCTCATCGATCAGATCCCAATACAAGCAAGTCTCTGTCAAGTGGTAGGCACCACCACAGAGACCGCAAGTATTCAGGACGCCTCCATCAAGGGGTCCACGGCAAAACTCTGGAGCATGCATTTGACCACAGTGCTGGTGCCAAATCTTGTTCCGGTCTGCGGGAAGTCGGGGAATTGAGGCCGGGTCCCTCTCCAGGACTTTGCGGAGTTCGTCCTTGTGGAGAGGTACCCAGGCCTCGGGAGGAGCGGGTTTCTTACCTCGGGGTTTCCCTCCTGGCCGTTTGGGATTGTAACCATTGTCAGAAATCCGAGTCTCAAACCCATGTGGTTCTTGAGAGCCAAAGACATACGAAGGATCCTGGGGAGAAGCTTGACCTCCAGGCTGGGGGTTTTGGCCGTACGGCTGTGTTTGGGAAACTGGACCAGCATACTGCTGAGGGGCAGCAATTGGTCCCGGACCATTCCATTGAGGCACTGGACCTTGAACATACTGAGGAGGGGCATGGTTCGGTACATGATAGCCATATGGGATATGGTTCTGTGGTGGATAGTAGCCATACGGCTGATACTGGGCAGGTGGTACATAGCCATACTGTTGGGGTGGCAGACCAGTACCATGCTGCACAGGCAAGTTGGTATACACCGGTTGGCCTGGGGGTTGACCATGGGTAAACGTGGGCTGGAATTGTGCCTGGCCCTTGGTAAACGCTGGCTGCCCTTGGGCTTGACCTTGCGTAAACGTGGGCTGATCTTGGGACATGCCCTGGGTAAACGTGGGTTGGTCTTGATCTTGGCCATGTGGTCGTCTCGGTGGTGCTCCGCGCGGGCGTTTGCCGCGATGCGGATTATATGAGCCGCACATCGTGGTTGTGTTTTTTCTTTGTGGTTGATGAATTGGGGTGGAAGAGAAACCACCGCTGTGTGTAGGTAGCTTCCAGGACAGCTTCACTGTAAGTACCTCTGTAGTCTGTCGAATGCAGCAAAGGAAACTAAGGTGGGCCACAGCTTGAATGACTGCCTTAGGACAAGGGAAACTCCCATCGAGGGGTTAGGTGATTATGCCAATATGATTATTCCACAAAACACCTAGGTATGAAGCTAGAGTCTATAGCCAGAAACCATTGTCCTAGTTTCATGGGCATCCATTGAGTTTGCATCAAAATAACTAAAAATCAAATTGCAAACGTTACGTGTTGAAAGGGGGCAAGAAAAAAGTCTCTTTGGGATTTAAATTATAACAAGTGCTTCTCAGACACTGTATTAGCTACCTTAAAGAAGTGCTTCGTCTAGCCAACTCACAGGGGCCATGCTGTGGTAGGGCCATCTCACAGGACTATGCTGTGATACTCGTGATCCGCTCTTCAACAAGTCAGTCAATACTGTTCCTCCTTGTCATCGCTATAAGTGTCAAGCATGTCCTGAACCCATGATGGTGAAGCAAAAGGATTTTGCTCGTAGAACCGGAGACCAGATCCAATTTCTTGATCTGTAAATGCCCCTTTGTACTCTAGTTGCCAACACTCCTGACATTCTAGATACCGGTCCATCATGGTAACTGGGAATGGAAATTGATTTTCAATTTCTTTCTCATTCGCAATTTTGAGCAGTTTGGCATCTCGAGTGGCATTCTCGTGTGCCCTTTTCCTAATGGAGAGTAGTCTCGCATCGATCTCGATGCCAATTTGTACTTTGGGATGATGAGTGAACCGGCGGCGACAGAGAAGTCGAATCCCGTCAGCCCTGTAACCAGCAAATTCGCCATCACCACCACAATCGACTGGTTTGTACTGAACTCTACTTTCCCACTGGCAGTGATATGTGTGGTTGGAATCGTGAGCAAGTACAAACCCGCAGGTCGGGCAATGCAGATCGCATCCCTTCTCACGGCAACTAGGAAGCGGACAGTAAACTCGGGGGCAGTCTTGCCAGAGATGCTGCTCTAGATGACTGATCCTACTTGTGTTGTTACGATCGCCTTGATCCCAAGCAACACAATCGCAATTGGGCGCCCTACAATCGGCGTTGCAAAACATCGACATGTGATCATATGATCCGCATCTGCTACAACAGTGAGCTCCCATACAGTCGGGGATACATACAGTCCTGTTATTGTTCAAACAACCTTCGCAGAGCACTTTGCAGCCATCTTTGTTATGGCCTGGACGGTTCTGGCATAAACACGTATCGTGCTTCTGTGGGCAGTCAGACCTACCATGGCCTCTACTATTGCAAGAGCCACAGCGCTCTTCACACGTTCCCGGATGGGCTTCTCTGCAATTTTCGCAGATTGGAATGCCAGCAGTATTCACAGGTTCGAAGATCGTCTGCTTCTTGTCAGCCATACTGGGCATTATTGGACCTTGGCGCAAATCGCTGTATTCCTGAAAGAGACCCCTTTTTGCATGCGAAACATTCCGAGACGGCTGTGACCAATTGGACAACTCACCTTCGAGTGCGTCCAAGGGGGCGTCATATTGGACGTCTTCCATGGGATCATAGTCACGGTTCTTGTGACTTCTCACCCTCTTTGGTACTCCATGGCTAGATTCGGCTGCCTCCGGCGATCGACCTCGCTTTTGCTTCGAGTTTTTGCTCTTTGCTAGGAGGTCTTCGGTGCCAGTGACCCAGCGTCGGAAGTGGCAAAGCCGAACTCGGTTTGCCGGCACCTCCACCCCTTCGTTACTGAACAGAGTCCAGTTCGGGTTGTAAGGTGTGGCATGATCTGCTGAGAGATACTCTTCCCATACCCAGGGAGCGTCGACATTGGGCAGTGGGCCCAGCTGACTCCATTTCCCAAGGCAAGGATCATCCTTTGGAAGGCTTTCGACCTCGGTCCACAAGGGCCTGAGAGCATTATAGTTGAATCTTAGGAAATATGACGACTTGCCAGCTTTCCTGTCCAGGTCGTATTGCGCGTTCTCGTATAATGCCGCAGAGTTTGGACATAGTGGTGGACGGAAACCAGTGATATCCACCACTTTACTAAAGTCCTTTTTGCTTGCCAATGGTGCAAGACCCTGTCTGGCATAGACATGGAGGTATTTCTCCAAAGAGGAACCGTCGTCACTCACAAGACGCCAATACTCACATGCCTCTGTCAGGTGGTTTGGACCACCGCACAGCGCACAGGTATGTAAGACGCCTTGGATGAGGGGTCCCTGACAAAACTCTGGGGCATGCATCTGACCGCAATGGGAGTGCCAGATGGTACTACGGTTCTGTGGAAGCCGGGGGACTGTGCTTGCATCCTGGTCCAGACGACGTTTCAGTTCATCTTGGTCGAGGGGTATCCAGACTTTGTCTGAAGGACTGGCGGCTCGTTCACTAGTAGTGTCCTTGCCTCGTCCTCCTCCACTTGTAGTGGCCCGACCCCGTCCTCGTCCACCTGTGGTGGCTTGAGGTTGACCTTGATCTCTTCGAGAGTTGTTCTCGTAAGTGGGCTGTTGGGCACGACTGGATATTACTTCCTCATATTGCCTGAGCTCGTCTCGGAAATCCATGTATCTTGCTATCCGCCCCTGCAATCCACTATAGTTCTGGCCTCGGCCAGAGGATTGCTGGCCTCTACCAGAGGATTGCTGGTTTTGGTAGCCAGATGATTGCTGGCCGTGACTTGTAAACTGCTGGCCGCGGCCAGATGACTGTTGGCCACGCCCGAATGACTGTGGGCCACGGCCAAAGGAAGGCCGTGGTGGTGGCGCATTACGCGCACGATTCCCGCGATGGGAGTTGGGCATTGTGGGAGGTTGACCGCCACTGATGACCAAAATTTTCTTCTTCTTGTTGTTGTTGTTGTTGTTGTGGCAGTGTTGGATGTGGATGATAGTTTTGTTGTTGTTGATGGTGGAAGGGGTAAGAGAAGACAGTAGGTCTGCGCAGATACTTTAGTGTGGGCTTCAGCGCAAATACAAACGCCTATGTAGGCCTACATTAGGTACCTAGGTTTGTACCTTAAGGCACCCAGTTGGACCATAGCTCATCTACTGGGGGTAGGGGCTCTGAAACAATGGGGGACAAATGACCTTCGACGCTATGATTATTCCAATCACTTCTCACCAGAGTGAATATGAACATATGATCGAAGGAGTGTCTGAAAGGTATCTGAGCTGATCCTAGGATATATAAAGGAGAGAGCCTGACAAGCGATTGAATGTATCCGAGCAGGTGATCTGCAGTGGTTACTGACTACGTGAATGCAGCAGGTGGCTACTGGCATTCCACTCATGTCAACCAATTTGGGTGGTTTTCGTGTCAGACCATGCTGTCAGGTCCGCATCCAGAGCGTTCGAATCATTATTGGCAGGCATTTTGATGCCCAACAATTCCCCCAATTTTCAATATTTAAAGTTTTTTTGACATAAGAAACCACTGTTCATCACGGGTACGGGCTTATCCACAGCGTGATTCCCTCCCTGAACCAAAGCCATGTCGGCTATGCGAATGATTAGATGAGTGGAAAATGCTTATAATCCAGGCAGTAGAGTTGAGGGCACGCGGCTGAATACGCATACTTTGGCAATGATATATATAAGCAGGTAAAGGTAGGCGAGTCATTTGGCATACTATTAAAATCTTCACTATGACACATTCATGATTTTATTATGACGGATTTTTGTTTTTATTTGAATATAGTAGAGAGACCAAACAATCAGATCCATGTTTTCACCTGAGAGTTGGTCTCATGACGCAAGTCCAATCTAAACAGCATTGTGAGTACCAAGGAAAGTACTTCATCCACTGTGGAATGATCCATGGCCCAGAACTGGGTCGTACAACGGTATACTGTATTGTCATACGACTGTGTAATACTTGGTCATCCGACTGTGTGATATATGGTCATACGACCTTGTGGAGCCAGGGCTGGATGTGTTCATGCCTCAGCGGGACACTGATAATCCAGGGAACAGGGGTGGCAGTCTTCATATGAGAAGAACTGCTCCTAGGCCTGACCGACTTACTTGGGTAGGAATCCAGAGTCTGAAGCAGTTTAGCTTCAAGTCCTCTTCTTCCCATTTCTGTAGCGAGTGCTGGTCATTGGCATGGCCCATAACATCTTATCAGGCTCTCCTCCTTGTTCTTTTACTCAAATCTGGTACTCACCGAGGCTTGCCTCTCAGATATCAAGCGATACTGTTTGGCTCTGACCCTGGGTACCAGCTGTCTTGGCATACGCCTTGTGGCCACGTGCTGGTCTCATCGAAGACGGGTACTACCTCAGCATCATAGGGGCTTGCTGAGGCTCTACCGCCGACCTTGCGTGGCCCATCTGAAAACATGTGGTCTTACGACTTTGGGATGTCCACACGGACTTGTGTGCATGGGAATTGGGCTCCTCCCGGAGAATCTCGCTAATTCATTCCATGTGCTCAGCAGTGACATACGTCTTCAACTCTGAATCGTTAGGGATCACCAGCGATTCGGTTGTCAAAGGTGGCAATTCTCACCTGAGAAGCCGGCCTTATCATCAAGACACGTCTTCGAATCAATCGCTTCGAGGCTCGGCAGATGCGTTGAGTTGGGGGTCCGAAGCCAGAACAAATATTTTCTCGCCGGCCCTCCCATCTCCATCTCGCAGCAAGTTTCGGAAGTTGGCCTGCCAATTTCTCACGTCATTTACCAATGGACGTTCGGCTTCCAGACGAGCTACTGTAGACAAACACTGTGTCTGCCTTACCCTGCTGTCACCCGCAAACGCGTTCGGTGGTGGGTTGGCCACAGCAATAGGAGCAGACGAGTCGATTGCGGGCTGCTCATGTGGCTGGGCCCGGCCTACACCGCTGCTCGAAGCAAACGGATTCGACGGTGGGCGGGCCGCAAACGGATTGACTGGCAGCTGATCGATACAGCGTCCATTGGTAAACAAAATTTGAAAGCACTCATCCATGTTGGAAGGCCGGCGCGTGTCGAAGTACTCCCGCAAAACTTTGAGATTTGCGCGGTCAGCTTCATCGACCGGTTCGGTCCTATCCACCACGTCCGAGGGATTCGGAAGGGACAACCCATACATCTATTGGTGAAGTCAATATCAGTATCTCGATCTGTGAATTCCCAGAAAGCTTGTTGCTTACAGTTTTCAGCAGTGTCTGGTAGATTCTGCTGAACATGAACCGCAGACCGTAGTCTGGGTTGCCAGAACTGGCACACTTGGTTACACACAGGCGTACATAATGAAGAAACGTTTCCTCCTTGGAGTAGTTCTTCAGAGGTTCATTTGTACACTCTTTAAACAGTTGGAAAATTTCCTGTTTGCGCGCGTCATCCATGATGACGATGGTGCGGCGCGCGAGCAGTCACCAAGTCTTTTTCTTCTTCTTCTCCTTCTTCTTCTTCTCCTCCTTCTTGTTGTTCTTGTTGTTGTTGGTGGTGATGGTGGTGGTGGCGGTGGAGGAGGGGGGATGGGGGGAAAAAGGTGAAGAGGAAAGGAAGAAAAGAAAAGGTTCCCAGATCGTTGGGAAAAAATATCAAGGCTGAAATTTGTGTGCTTGCTCTGGGGGCTTGGTTCCGTTTGTCGGCAGCCTCATCAATACATATGTAGCCACCGGGCTGCCAGCACTTGAAACCTCCGGGCCATGGGTACTTGAGTACTTTGGTACTTCAGTGGACCAAGAGGCCTCTGCAACTCTGGACTACATGCCATGCCATGCCATGCCACAACAACCGTGTCGCTGATCGAATCGCTACTCAAGAATGCCGACAGGGAAGATGGTACCCATATACTCTGCGCACTTAGGCGCGCCCCTCTGAGTCCATTGCCCGAGGGTAAGATATTGCACGAATGCGTTGGCTTGCATGACTGAACGGCTTTAATTTGAATAGAGGATTCCTCTGTGAACAAACCCATGGCCGTGATAAACAGTATTTCATGTTGAAATGACATAAATATTGAAAACCTTCTATGATTGGAGTCTAAACACCAAGTAAAATCATGCTAACCAGCTTTTTCTCCCTTTTTCCTATTTACCAGATTTAATTCCACGACTCCAGGTTCTTCAGAATACAACCCTCTCCGCTCGAGCGGGACACCAGCTTGCCGACCGTGTAGACAGTCTCGCCAGCCTCCTTCAAGACGCGAACCACCTCGTCCACCTCTGACGGGGCGACAATGGCAATCATGCCAACACCCGTGTTGAAGGCTCGTGCCATTTCCGAGGCGTCAACGTTACCTGCCTTCTTCAACCACTTGAAGACTGGCGGCAGCTGCCAGGTGGCCACGTCAATCTCGGCCGCGAGTGTCTTGGGCAGTGCTCGCGGCACGTTCTCTGTCAGGCCACCTCCAGTGATGTGCGACAGGCCCTTGAGCTTGGAGACTACCTGCAACAGCGACTTGACGTAGATTCTGGTGGGGGTCAGGAGAGATTCTCCGACAGTGACGCCGCTGCTCTCCCAAGGGGCGGTGGCCGAATAGTCGAGGTTCTCCTCCTTGAGGATGCGGCGAACTAGGGAGAAGCCATTGGAGTGGACGCCAGCCGAGGCAAGACCAATGAGCACATCACCCTCGCGCATGTCGTCCAGACGGGGAAGACGGTTGTTCGACTCTAGGAGACCGACGGCACAGCCAGCAGCATCGTAGTCGTCACCCTGATACATGCCCGGCATCTCGGCAGTCTCACCACCAACAAGAGCACATCCAGCCTGGATACAGCCGGCACAAACACCCTCGACGAAAGCAGCAGAAGCCTCGGGGTCAAGCTTGCTGCAGCCAATGTAGTCGAGGAACATGAGGGGCTTGGCGCCCTGAACGACCAAGTCGTTGACGTTCATGGCCACGAGGTCGATACCGACAGTATCGTGCTTCTTGGTTTGTTGGGCAATCATGAGCTTGGTACCAACACCGTCAATGGCACCGACCAGAGTGAGACCAGGAGCTTGGAAACCAGCTCCAGTCAGATCAACCTCGCCACCAAAACCACCAATCTCTGCATCAGCGCCGGGAATGGCAGTGGAGCGGACGGCCTTCTTGATGCGCTCAACAAACTGGTTGCCAGCCTCTATGCTGACACCAGCCTGTGCATATGTGAGTGCCTTTTTTGTGTCCGAGGTAGGTCGGAAAGCGCGGTGGGCAATATCCCGGCGGAAGTACATCTTGTTGAACTCGATGAGCTTGACACCCTCGTAGGCCTTGTCGACGGCGGCCCGGAGGCTTTCTCCAGTAGCGGTTGCTGCAATCACACGGCCGCCCGCAGTAACAATCTTGCCGTTTTGCAGCTTGGTGCCTGCATGGAAAATGTAGGTTCCAGCAGGAGGATCGCGAATGGTCATTTCGTCACCCTTGCCGTATGCTTCGGGGTAACCTCCAGCGGCGACAACAATGGTGGTGCTAAACTTGTTTTCCACATTGAAGACCAGGCCATTTCTGTCTAGGTTTCCGTTGACACAAGCCTCCATGATCAGGGCGAGATCAGTATCTTGAGAGAGAAGGGGCATGACGGTCTGCACCTCCGGGTCGCCGAATCGCACATTGTACTCGAGAACCTTGGGGCCGTTGGCGGTAATCATGAAACCGGTAAAGAGGATACCCTTGAATGTCAGGTTGTCTTTTCGCAGGCCGTCAATGGTGGACTGAATGATGCGGTCCATCTCGGCAATGAGTTCAGGGGTGGCAATGTTGGTGGGCGCATAGCAGCCCATTCCTCCAGTGTTGAGGCCAGTGTCACCCTCGCCGACCCGCTTGTGGTCCTGGGCCGGAGGGAAAGATTTGATGCGAGAGCCATCGCAAAAGGTCAAGACACTCAGCTCGTCACCAGCCAGGAACTCTTCAATGACAACCTCGTCGCCAGCCGAGCCAAACTCCTTGGTCAGCATGATATCCTTGAGCGCCTGGTGTGCCTCCTCTTTTGTGGTGGGGATTATGACACCCTTTCCTGCAGCCAAACCATCGGCCTTGATGACCACGTCGTGGTTGACAGAGTCGAGGTACTGCTTTGCCTTTTCGTAGTCGTCAAAGTTCTCGAAAGCGGCAGTCGGGATACCCCACTTCTTCATGAAATCCTTGGAAAAGGTCTTGCTACCTTCCATGCGGGCAGCCGCCTTGGAAGGACCAAAGCTGGGGATACCGGCCTTGGAGAAGAAATCGACGGCACCAGCGACTAATGGGGCCTCGGGACCGGGAACGACAAAGTTGACATTCTCCTTCTTGGCGAGCTCGAGAAGGGCGGGAAAGTCCTCGGGAGAGACCGAGTCGACGTTCTTGGTCTTGGGGGTCGTGGCCGTGCCTCCATTGCCGGGCACAACTAGGATGGACTCGACATTGGACGACTGGCTGAGCTTCCAAGCAATGGCATTCTCGCGGCCGCCATTGCCAATGAGCAGAACGCGCAGGGGGTATTCGACGACCGACATTTTCGAGTAGAAATGAACCGACGTGCAAAGTAGGTGGGAAATTCCAAATCGGAACGAGGACGGATGTCCTAGAGAAAGGAAGAGGAGAAGCTATTCGAGACCTGCTCTAGAATGGTTACAAAAATTTGTCCCGCGATCGCACCTGAAAGTACGTTTGTTAACCCCTCCCCCGCAATTATTTTTTACAGGGGACCTGAAAAAGGCTGAATGAGCAGGGATCTTTTAGTGACGTCTAGTGGAGGAGCCATATGACTCGAATTTGAACCTTGAGCGAATTGATGGCGAATGATTTGCAAATGAGTAGAAACTTGTTGAAGAAGATGTGTAGTGAATAATTGATACATTTAAGCCACGATTCAGACACGTCAATTTGATCGTGGAAATAAACGACTCTTTCAGAAAATCGTATACTCGAGATCCCAATAGACGCCAAGAAAACCGTGGTCCACTTTCCCGAGGTCTTGCCTTATCAACGTTATCGCCGTGACATGCCGGTTAAGCTCGGCCAACCGTGTCTTGGAGGCTCATTCAAGAACCTCGACGCCACATTGTACAACGCGACGAGTTGCGCTCAAGAACCGCAAGCCTGCACATGATCAATCTCCAAGTTGTTCAGAACAGCGTTTACTTGTAGTCTCGCCCATCATGCTGCTTATTGGCCTGACTGGGTCCATAGCGACCGGAAAGTCTACCGTCTCCTCCATTCTTTCGTCTCCACCTTACAAGCTTCCCATCATTGATGCAGACGTGCTGGCGCGCAAAGTGGTCGAGCCAGGGACTGCCGGCTACAATGCAATCGTCAAATACTTTGGTCCGACGACGCCCGAGCTCCTGGTCGAGCCGTCGGACACAATGCCGGAGAATGGAATCAATGGCAAGGGCAGGCCTCTCAATAGGCCAGCATTGGGCAGACGCGTCTTTGGCGATAGCGAGGAGCGGAAAAAGGATCGAGGCGTCTTGAACAAGATTGTCCATCCCGCCGTGCGCAAGGAAATGTACAAGTCCCTGCTCTGGTGCTATGTCACGGGTCATTGGGCAGTGATATTGGATGTTCCCCTCTTGTTTGAGAGTGCGCTGGATCGCATGTGCGGAGTCGTCATGGTAGTCGCCGTCAGAGAACCCGAGGTGCAAATGAAGAGATTAATGGATCGCGATCCCCATCTCACTAGGGAGGATGCACAAAACCGGGTCTTGAGTCAGACAGACGTGAGGCTCAAGGCGAGGAGGTGCGAGGCTCGGGGCAAGGGAAAGGGGGTTGTGGTTTGGAACGATTCGTCCAAGGAGGAGCTCAAGGCCGAGATTGACAATGCGATCCAGGAGATACAAAAGAGAAGCCCCAGCTGGTGGAATTGGTTCCTTTTGCTCAACCCTCCACTGGCCGTACTGTCAGGCGCATGGACATTTTGGCAAAATGTGCAAATCAACAAGAGGTGGAATGAGCTGGAGCTCAAGGAAAAGGCAAAGCTGTAAATGTGGAGCTGGAGCGATTGTGACAAACGGGAGAGCGACCAGGTGTTTATCCCAGAAGACGCGGGTTGCCAGGTCAGGGCCACTGAACAGATGATCAATTGTCGAGACAATTTTATGCTATTGGCAACGATTGGACGCAGAGCTTCAAAGCTGCCTGTGTACTCTATTTAATTCAAGAACTCGGGTGTTCCTTCCTTTATTCCCTGCATCATTTCGTCGACCTTTTATTCATTCATACTCGACCCCATTCGAGCTCTACAAGCTCCATCATCTCTCATTCATCACCTCTAATATCATCTCGACTTCTTGGGTCATTTTCCTCTGCACCAATCTCTAAAGTATTGGCAATTTTGGCAGCCGTACAGCAGCATCTTGGCCCATTTGACGCTCGTTTCAACCAGTACCAAACGGAGTCTACACCTCCAGCTTTGTTCGCAACACAGCCCAGCCATTCTCATAGCAAACACCGTTCACTCATAATCGGCAAATCTCGTCTCCGTTCATCACAATGCGCGGCAAACAGCCCAACTCGTTTTGCGAATGGGTAATTGGTGCAAACTATACGCGTCGCAAAAAAACCACGCGGAGGACAGTTGCGAGCCTGACTGTGGAAACCGACGACGAGACTGACACCGACACCATATCACTCTCTATCCCTCGTGGAAAGCGGCAATCCAGACCTGCGCGTTCTAAACCAGAGAAGCAGGTCCGTTTCTCCGAAGCTGCAAATGAGTCGTCTGAAGATGCCAAAGAGGTCAGTCACAGGAACTTCTACCGTCGCCTCAGACCAAAGATGCCTTTTGTCTCGAAACACATCTCTTCTGCCATTTCAGATGACATTTAATGACTGACTTGGCACAGGCAGACACCAGTGCAACCAGCGCCGAGCCGTCCGAAGCAGAGGTCAGTGAGAACGAGACAACCGACGCAGCTCAAGATGAAGCCACGGATGAAGACATTGACTCTGATTGTCCCTGCGGAAAATGTGTTTCGGGAAGAGAGAGACTAAAGAAGAAGCAGGAGGAAGAGTCGGATGCTGACGCTCATACCAAACACAAGGACAAGAAGAAGAAGGTAGCCGCCAAGAACAAGTCAAAGAGCAAGCCCAAGGAAAAGAACGGCAAGAAAAAGAAAGACAAAGAGGAGGAACCCGAGTCAGAGACAGAGGCCGGCTCTGGGTCTGAAACCGCAGTAGACTCCAGCGCTTCCGAGGATGAGGAAATGAAGAACACCAAGCCCAAGAACAAGAAGCAAAAGGGTAAAGGGGCCAACAAGAAGCAAGCAGAGACATCTGGAGAAGAGTCCGAGGCAGTCAATGATACTGAAGAGGAAAAGCCAAAGAACAAGGGTAAAAACAAGGGCAAGAATCAAAACAACCAACCCAAGGGCAACCAAAAGAACAAGAACAAGGGTGGTAATGCCAACAAGAAGTCGGATGAGACATCTGAAGAGCAAGAGGTTACAGAGATCGTCCCTTCAGTCAAGAAGAAGAAGGAAAAGAAAAGCAAGGGCTTTGTTCAGCCTCCTCCTCGCCGACCCGATTTGTTGATGCCCGTCAGCGCACATGTTGTACAGGTCGAACATTCCATCGAGAGTGCCGAGGACCCACGCCCAAATGCATTCTACGATGCTGAGCATGGAGTCATGCGTGTCTACCACGGCGGCGCCTATGGAAATCCATATGGCGTCTTGTACCCAAAGCGCTGGGGTCCGAGTATGCCTTTGGGTACTCCTCATCCCTCGCAGAACCCCTGGATTTATGGGTTTCCTCCTTCTCATGCTCCAGCTCCGCCTCTTCAAAGTACCCCAACCACCCGTGTCGCTGTTGGTCCTGGCCCCGGAAATCCCTGGTATCAGGGTGAAGGCGTGGTTCAGGTCAACAATCCCGTTACTCCCATGCCCAAGGATCCTCGCGCCATCTACAATGAGTCACCTTCCATCAGAGCCGCTGCCAAGAAAGACGGCAACAATGTCGTTCCTTTTGCTCCTCAAGGCTCTCGGGCTGGATCCAATGGAGGCCGGGGCATTCAGGGTGCCCCGGAAGCCAAAGAGGATGGACCGGGTGACAATGTTGGAAATTCCAACGACCCGGCCAAGGAGCCTTGGAGTCCAGAGCATAGCAAGAAGCTAGCAGAGGCCTTGGAGGAACAGGCAAAGAAGCAGAGTAATAGTAGGGCAGGAAGCAAGAAGAATAGTCAGGCGGAAAGTCCAAAGGGTAGCAAGGCCGGAAGTCAGAAGAATGACGATGGATGGAACACGGATGGGAACAACAACAATGCCACTGAGGCCTGGGACGCTGGCAATGTTGGTAATCCCGGTTTGGACTGGGGCGGCGGCGAGAAGAACGACTGGGGCAACGGCGAAAACAACGACTGGGGCAACGGCGAGAACAACGCCTGGGGAGCAACTGGTGACCAGAAAGCCAACAGCGTGGACGCAAACGATGCCCAGAACAAGGACAATGAAGCCAATAATTCTACATCAGATAAAGCCCCATCTACTGGTGGCAACGTCATGGGCCGAGGGGATCATCCCAAGGAGGACAGCCCTCAGTCGCGTCAGTCCAATGAATCCATGCCCGGTGCCTGGCCCCAACTTGGCGGCAATGTTTTGGGTGGCTCGACAAAAGGCGACACTGCAGCAGAAAATGACAACACTAATGACAATAATCAGGAGTGGCAAAACCAAAACGTTGCTGTCGAAACCGGTGGGTGGTGGCAAAGCAAGGAGGGACAAGCGGATGCGGCAAAACCAATGTGGTAAAGATCCATCTGGAGATACGGGACACGGCTACACAAAGTCGAGAGAAAAGGGCTCATACTGTCACCAATGCATACCGTGGTCTTGACTGGTATAATGCAATGGAAGACAACGGGCTGTGGATTCAGCAATTTGTCAATTTGTTGTCTGGGAGTTTCTGCTTGTTTCTGCTAGACTGGTTTGTTCTACTGGTTTGTTCTTGATACTCTGACTGAACTAGCCAAATTGTCACACTCGTTGCGGTAGTGAGTCTATACTCCCAAGACGTTTAAGAATAATTAAGAGTAATATGATATTTATGATAGGCCTTTAAATTTTCGTCATGAAAACTAATCCTTACATGTTTGTTTAATAGCACAATCATGTGTCATGAGCTAGCTACATCGGATTCAACGTGATCATGTTCCTGACCGCGAGTTTCTACTCACGCAATAGAATTTGCAGAAAAGTCACTGAGCGTTATGTAACATGATGCATACAGAGCGAAGATGGCAATCTGAATTGAACACTATGACAAACACAGCTTTACATTTTGTGTAACACGAACCAAGAATGTCTTTTTTGATGCAAATGCCGACTCCTTCCTCATTTCCGAACCAGAGGAGACTTTCCAGGCAAGCCAGGCGAGACGCTTTTGTCCATAAGTAAAGAATATGCATTAACAAAAGTGATGAAAGATTGCAACGAGTTGAGCAAGTATGATCAGTTGCAGAGAGCAGTGCCAAGTTGGAAAAGGACACAATTAGTCCTCCTCCTCGGAAGACTCCTCGTCAGCCTCGTCGAGCCACTTGATAAAGGGCTCGGCAGCCTTGCGGATGGAACGAGAAGTGGAGAGATCGCAGTACTTCTTACTGGCCTTGCTACCCCACTTGCGGACAAACTCCTCAGAGATGAGTTCCTGGTCGTACAGCTGGTACAGGATCTTGTTGGAAACAACATCAGCGGTCAGCAACTTGGGGTTTTTCTTGCCCTCCTTGGCCAAAAGGCACTCGATTCCTCCCATCAGTGCCTTTTCGTGACGCTCGGAGATCTTGCTAGGGTTCTCGGGGTCCTTGAGGAACTACAAGTTTGTTAGTATAATGTTGTCCAAGAATGGAAACAAGACAATGCTCACCTGCTTGAGAAGACCAGCACGCTTGGGGATCTGAGTGACAATGTCGGCGGTGAACAGGGCCTGAACAAGGACCATGACGGTCTTGTGCTTGGCCTCAATGTTCAGCTCCTTGGCCTTTTTGTAAATGGCAAGGTCTTCGACTTTGTCAATGCCTCCAGTCTCTGTAGCCTTTTCCAGAATCCAGTTGCCAAGTTCGTCATAGACGGTGGGGCCACTGGCCTCGCCATCTTCATCCTCGTCAGCACCCTCAAGGACGAGCTTGTCGCGGAACTCGGTTGGGAGCCTGTTCTGACGGGCCTTGACGGCCTCCTCAGACATGTCGACAGCCCAATCATCATCCTTGACTTCCTTGGGGGCGTCAATGTCCTGAGCGGCGGCATTGATTTGACGGGTAAACTCGTCGTCGCTACCGGCCTCGCCTGCCTCGTCTTCACCATTCTCGTTGGAGCCATTCTCCGAGTTATCATCGCCACCGCTAGCGTTACCGTTCTCGCCATTCTGCAGGCCCAACTGCTTGGCTCTGCGAGCAGCCTGGCGCTCAGCCTTTGTAGTCTTGGACTTTTTGCCCTTCTTGGTCTGGGTCTTCAGGATGAAGTTGATCAAGTTGGAGTGGACAAGAGGCTTGCTGCGGGCACCACAGGCCTTGCAATCCTTGCGAACAACATCATCCTTGATGGTGAGGTCGGTTTCGGGATTGCCACAGTCGTCACAGAGAACGTACTTCTCAATAAAGACGAACAGAGACTTTTGCAGAGTCTCGCCATCGTGGGCGCCGTTGATGATCCAGCGGTCATCCGGGGGATCCATGTTGGTTTGAGCACCGAGATCAAGTCCAAACCACTTGATGACATGGCCTCCGGGGCGGGCAAGGGACTGAGCGATGGTGCTCAGGTTGACAACAACGGTCTTGATACCGTTGCCCTTGCCTTCGACCTTGACTTGGAGTCTGGGCATCTTGTAGCGGTAGAACTTGTCGTCGCCCCTCTTGGGGTTGATGGCAAGAAGCTCGACCATTTTGGCGGTAGTTTTGAGCAGATGGTATGAATCTGGTATGTGATTATAGAAGCGGATTTATAAGCGGCTGAGCTTGAGCTTGAGCTGTGCTTAGCAGACGGACAGGCGTTTCGGCGATGAATTTATGGTGATGATGACACTGGTTCGGAAAGACTAGTAGGTCATTTGCGAACAGACGAGTCGGTTACTTGATTTTTTAGAGTTGGCAACAGAATATTGTACTCGTGGATTCGAGAGTATAGAGGATGGACGAGCCAGGCTGTCAGTAATAAATCTTATGCTGAGCAAACATAGGGGAGACTGGAGACAGGTTGTCGTGGGCGTAGGCAGGCATTAACTCGTTGCGAGATCGATTCAGCCGACAGAACTGATGTTGGGGCTACAAGGTTTTCGCGGTATGCGAAAAGACTGCAGCGTGAGAGGGGGTAGGTGTGTAAACACTGCGTTCTTGTCGTGCTGATACATAAACAGCAATGTAAAATGTACCCTTTTACGTGGGGTTTCGGGATAGTGGCAAGGTCGGGAGATTGAAAAACCGGTCGCACGACAAGCAGCTTTTCAGGACTCTGTGATTGCCGTTGGGTTGATGCAGACGGGCAGATTGTGAATGGTTGTCAGACGTTTGGGCAAGCGATGCGCGCTGTCGCCGGACAAGTCAATGGTTTGGAGGTGTCAGCAAGCACGAACGAGGCCGCAAATTGTTGTTCTGTAGAGACGTTTCCTTTCAGTCCGAGAAAGGTGATCAAGGATTGGTTTCAGATGATCCGCACGTGGCTTACCAATCTGGTGGTGGAATTTTTGGTTTTCGCTGAGCAGTGCAAAAGGAAGTGTTGAGAAAAAGTGACAAAAAAATGTGGTGTCGGAAAAGGAAGAAAGAGGAAGAAAAGAGGAGGAGGCCAGAAAAGAAAATGGAGCCGAAAGCGTCGAGCTGCGAATGAGGCACAACCAATCCTGGCACCTGCCGACCTGATTGACTGGCTGCTGACTGCGCTCAACGTCGGACCACTGGATTTCTGCAGTGGAGGGGCAGAGGGGCTGAGGGGCGCTGGGAGCACTGACCATTGGTAGGTTACGGGCGGCGGTTTCGCAGTTTCTCAGGGTCGGAGCCTAGAAGGAAGCGAACTGGAGTCTCGGCGGCCAAAACCAGAGTCACTCTTTAGTGAGTCGGCGGCTGCCTAGGTACATCTCGGTACTTTGCGGATTGCACAAAAACTCCAGTTCTTTGTGGGGTTTGAGGCAAAAAAATGAAGAGGGAAAAAAATCCCACTGATCCCATGGTAAATTGAATTGTTACACTAATTATCGGGCCGGGCGAGCATTTGTCGTATGTTGGCGAGGTCCGGCCAGATTATCTACACCATGACCAAGGGTATCATGGAGGGTGGAAACACCAAGCCGTCGGAAGCCGTGATTGCCCTTTGATACAAGACGCAGGATATTCAGATTTTGGGTTCCAATGATGAATTTTCAAGCACACTTTTTCATACACTGTGGCTGGACGCGTGAATTGAGCAAGTGACACACCAAAACAAGTCCATCTCCGAGACACACTGATTCTGCTGACAACTCATTGTTGTATATCAATTGACCGACACGAAGCTTCTCAAATAATGCTTCATCAATTCGGTACGACACGCAATATGTCGCTCATCTACCCTGTTCATGCAAACCATGAAATATTGTCACCTTCAACGCCACATTTGCCCGGTTGAAAGCGTCCCCAAAAAATGCTCACAGCCTTGTGCTGGATTTATGTAAGAACTTGCCATCGCGAATCGAGGCTATAGAAACGTGAATGCAATACTGCACTCTGGTGCCTGGGGTATAAGAAAAGAAAAAGTAAAAAGAAGCCATGCTGTATGTATAATGGGTCGCTCAGAGAGAAACGGGTCACGAGGATGTACTCGTTTCGTCCTTTGACTGGTTCTGGTTCTGGTTCAAGTTCAGTCCATGGCTCGTAGCCAAAGACTTCCATGCTGTCACTTCTCGGTATGCCCTCTCGCACTCCTGTTTGAGCTTATCATTCGATGTGCTCAGTTCTTGAATGGCCTGTTCCGTGAGCAGCTTCTCCAGCGTCCACTTTTCAATATTCTGTGCCTCGTTCTCCTTGAGTTGCGTGATGAAGGAAACGGCACGCTGAAGAATGGAGCCCTTGTTCTTTTCGCATCCGGGAACAATCTTGGCCAACTCATTGATACCTTCATTGATGGTTTCTCTGCGTCGACGTTCAACTTGAGACTCGGTTAGCAAACACTTCTTCATGGCACAGGCTTATACAGTTTAACTCACCTTCTTTGTGGTTATCCTTGCGTTGCTTATGCCATTCCTCAGAGCCCACGGCAGGTCGGTGTCCGGCTGGCTGCTGAACTGGTGATTGGAACACTGGAGCACCGGATCTCAGACCATTTTGTCCCAGAGGTTGCGGTCCTTGTGGAGGGCCCTGGTTTGAAGGGTCAGGTAAACTGTCCGTCGGCACCATGTCGCTGTTGCCGTAGGACGAGTGTTCATTCTCATTGGCGGCCTGTGCAGCAAATGTTTCTTCAGTGGTAGGTGGTACGTGGATAGTAGGATACATGGAACCTAGTGCGGCGGCTGCTGTGCTCGAAGCGTTGGCCGGATCAGCAGATTCATGATGGTCTACTGCTGTAGCTTGTTGCAGTGCGGTAAAGTCTGCGGCATTGACGCTGGCAGCTGCAGCGGCTTGAGCAGCTTCGACTGCACTCTCAACGTATGAAGCCTCAGCCTCAACATCGGCATGGTTGGACATGGTGGCTTGTGGTGCGCCTCGCTTTGCACGTCTCGACTCAGCTGGCGATGAATCGGGAGCACTTCGCTTTCGCCGACTGGGACTTGAAGACGAAGGGGCTGCGTATTCACTTTGTTCTTGTGTGACGGCCTCAGCCATGGCGGCCAGGTAGCGGGGATCAGCGAGTTGCTCCAGGTTGGCAACCTCGCTGTGCGGGTAAGAGGCAGACTCCATCATCGCTCAGTGGGCAAAGACCCAAGTCAGTTGATGGCAACTACAACAGGTCGAGTAGAGCCTAGCCGAGCCCAACCACTTGGAAGTGATGGCAATCTGTGATTGTGTACGATTAGCATTGCAAGAACTACAATGTTGAACACCAATGTCAGGACTGTAACAGTAAGTCGCAAATAACTCGAATCACCAGAAATGAATAAATGCAAAATCATCGACTCCACGGGCAGCTCCGGGTTGTGTTGGCGGACACAGGTTGCATCAAGATTGTTGGGCAATGGAGCATTGATGGTTGTGGTGCGTTATCACTGGTAAGCGTGATGGAATCTATTGGCTTAGGTGCCGTGGGAATCAGTCCGTCTCAACTGATGGACGTCTGAAAAAAGACGACATTGACGAGCTTTGACAGTATAATCCTGTCGTGATCACAAGCTTTTTTCTGTTGTTACGTCCCAAGAAGCAGGGCGACGCTGGGCTGCAGCTACAAGGCTTGCACGGCATCGAGCTCGATTGGAGCTGGGCTGCGCTTGCAGCACGTCGCAATCGGGGGCCCGCCAAGAGCTGGGAGAGGCGTCGACGTCGACGATGAAATTGCAAAGAATCTGCAGGCAGATGCGCTGGCAAAGTGCCTCATGGCCTACAGCACCGACTGCGACATTGCGACCGTATCAAATGCGGTCATGATACCCGGTATTGAAAATCAATGGAAACAAGTCAAGACTTACAGTTCGAGAAAAAAGAGAGTCGCGCCCCAAAAACCCGACCGAGCACTGCGCGCGTGTGGTCCCCGCGATCCCAGAGAACGTGACTTGAGTTCACGTGAATGATCAGGAGCCAGGAGATTGGCGATAGCGTTAAACCCACTCGCGACCAGCGACCATGAAGCGTCGAGATGACGGAAAAATATCGAAAAAAAAGTGACAGAAGTTTGAATCGAGATGAATTTCGTGTAGTTGAATTTTCAGATTAGTTTTCGCAGCCGTTTGTCCAGAGCCGTCGGGATTGTTCTTATGATATGGGTCAAATGGGAGTTGACTTTGAGGAACGGGAGGCAGCGAGGTCACGGGGTGATTGCCCAGATGACTTGGGGACTTTGGGGAGCACAGACCAGAATGGCGAGCCAAAAGATGTGGTGGGTCTGAGATTGGGGGGGTCCAGGTTCAAGTCAAGTGGTTGATGGGTTTCAGTGTGGGAAGGGAAAGCAGCAGCAGTGTTGCAGGGCCAGGCGTGGGTGCGTGATTGGTCTTTGTGCCTTGCCGGTCCGTCACCCCTCGGGTTCCATTGAACCCGTCCTAAAGTTGGTTGCGCCTGTTCGAGGCTCTGCGGAGGCGGAATAACCTGGAAAGATGTAACCGCAGCAAGTCGAGGTCATCATTCAGTATTCGAATGTTGGTCCTAGCTAATATCCATGGCTCGTAACAAAAAAAGTGCAGCTATATCCAGACAGGTAAGGGCGATTACTGCAATGCAACACACCCCATGGTGGGTGCACATATGGACACTACATACTGTACATGTAGACGAGATCTCCTCGCAGATAGATTTGCTTCATCTTTGAAAATAGGGACCAATAGATTCATGGCGAAAGCTGCATTCATTAGGTACATGGTGCAAATGCAATGTGAACATGGGTAATCTTCAGGTTTCTGGGAAAGTGATGATCCTCTGGGTAGTATCTAGTGGCGGGATACATTCTCCAAGGTTCTTACCCACGCAAATGAATCACCACAACCCTGGGCTGTTGACGTGATCTCTAGCGACAACACTGATAGTGTTGCTGGATTAACAAGAACAATAATAGCCATGTACTTCCAAGAAATGTCCCGGTGAGCACAGGCACTGTCCACGATCATAGTCTGTCCGACCAGGATTTTGATCTTAGCGTATCGGCTTGATCCGGAGCTCGGCCGGCCAACCCACCTTACCCCACGGATCCACCAAGCCCGAAGGGGACCGACGACGACGTCAACGCAGCTCTAACCAGCGGCGGGTTTGCTGATTCTCTCCCTCTGCATCGTCAAACAACGACGACACTCGGAATCGACAAAGATGGCGGATCCAGTGGCACTCAAGCTCGACCATGAGAATCATTTGCTCCTGGTAAGTTTACCAAGACCCAGGCTTCCGGAGACGTTGAGCTGTCCTCGGACGAGCCCTGCAGCTACGCCTCTCATACCCAATCCCGGCGCCTGGTTTCCAAACTCTGCTACCTTTGAACAAGAGACCCTGCTACTCCTACTTGGCTGAGAAATCATGATTAACCTTCTGTCCTACTACAGGATCAACCACTTCTCCGTCTCCCCTTTGAGCTCCTCCGCAAGAACTTTCGCTCGGCGCACTTTGAAGTCGAGCGCGACGGCACCTACATCCGCAACCTGCTCAAGGAGACGGCGCAGGCAGCCGTGAGCGCGCCCCCGCCGACCGAAGATATCCTGCGCTCGATAGACAACATGCTGGCGCGCGCCCGCGGCGTCAAGCGCAAGCTGGCGGGCTTTGCCGAGGAGGAGCAGCGCCTGTACCGCCACGAGGGCGCCCGGGTACGCCACCTTGCCGAGATATACTCCATGCAGAGCTTTGAGGATGTCAAGTACGAGTCTTGGAGCCGCACCCGGCTGCAGCGTATGCTTGTCGACTACCTCTTGCGCCAGGGGTATGGGGAGAGCGCCCGTATGCTCGCGCGGGACGGGGGCATCGAGGAGCTCGTGGATGTTGAGACGTTTGAGCAAATGGCCAGGATCAGTTCGAGCCTCCGAAATGGTAGTGTAACCGAAGCTCTGGCATGGTGTACGGCCGGTGATACCAAGAAGGAGTTGAGGAAGATGGATGTCGGTTTCATCCACTAGTCCCAAAGCTTGACATTGGAAAACTAACTTGCCTACAGTCCAATCTGGAGTTTATGCTCCGTTATCAACAGTATATTGAACTCGTCAGACCATACACACCAGCGAAATTAAACGAAGCAATAAAGCACGCCCAAAAATGGCTGCACCCATATCGCCAAACTCATGCTGTCGAGGTCCGACAAGCCTGTGGCCTGCTGGCAGTTCCGCCGTCGCGCGCCTCTGCATACCCGGCTTATGCAGCCCTGTACTCTCCCCAGCGCTGGCAAGTACTAGCAGACTTGTTCATTGCCACGCATAACCGGCTCTTATCGCTGCCGTCGATACCGGCCCTGCACATGGCGCTCAACTCGGGGCTATCAGCCCTAAAGACCCCAGCCTGCCACAGTCAGGATTCGCAGCAGACGGCCGAAAACACCACGGTTGCCAGCTTGCAAAATGTGTGCCCCATTTGTTCCAAGGAGCTCAACGAGCTGGCACGCAATGTCCCGTATGCCCACCACGACAAGAGCCACGTCGAGCACGACATGATGCTGTTGCCCAACGGCCGAGCCTATCCCAAAGAGAGGCTCGAGGATTATGCCAAGAAGGCTGGTTTGCTCGAGGGACAGGTCAAGGACTTAAGGACGGGCGAGATCTTTGCCGAAGAACGGCTGAGAAAGGTGTATATTACGTAGAGCAGGGGTGGACTATGAGCACGAGGATGATTTTGCTTGAGCCTAGGAGTTACTACGGATGCATTTTACGGACCCCCAATGTACATCGAGCGCCTACAAGGGTATGGGCAGCTCAGCCAGCATGGACATGGCGTATTGCGCAAGTGTTTGGGTCATGTTTGGAAGACTTTCTCTTCTTTTTTTCTCCAAAGCAAAGCGCTTTGTTCCGGCTTCTTTTACTGCCATGGCGAACGATGCCATTATCATCAGTAGACCACGTAGGTAGAGGCCACAGAGTTGATCCGTGGTTAAAATGACATGTGACACTATGGGTTGTCTGGTGTGGTAAATACACCAACGTCGTTCCGGAGAATGTTGAGCTTCTCTAACCGACGAGTTCTTTTCGTGTAACAAGAGTTTACAACCTAATCCTTCAACATGTACAGCACGTCACACTTGGCAAGAGATGAGACCAGGATTACAAAAGCAGAAAAAAATTTACAGCCGTCTATTCGCCGACCGCCAACCCCTTCCTGACCATGTTGGGGAAACGTGATTTGTTCCTAATACTACATACGCAAAATTTACAGCCAACCGATCCGTGCACTCCTAGTAAAAGAGACGCTTTGTGTAAAATAATGAGATGCCGAGACGCGCTTTTTGTTCATCTTCCATCCAAACCAGCTGTGCAAACTAACTAGCAGGCAAAAGAGCGTTTTGACGTACTTGTGCTCATCCGAAGATTCTCTCGAGTTTGGTGTACATCTAGATCATATAGAATAATTCTCTAATCTCCGCTAATGGCCATGATTTGGATTTGGCCAATATGATGTATACCCGTAGTTTCCATAGGTCGGGGCAAGATGAGACGGTGCATACTGGGGCTGAGGAGCAACGAAACCAGTAAAAGAACTCGTAGTTGGATTCAACGGCTTATGTGATGGGGCCTGTGGTGGCACTGATGGAGGAGGGTGGAGGGATTGAGATTGTCCAGGAAAGTTGAGGCTATACGGATTCTACCTCGTCGCCGCCGGGTAAAACTGGCTTAGAACCCCTCCGGCTCCGCCAGGAGTCATTGGCCCCACCGAGATGCCATTACCATTGGTGTTGTGTGACTGAGCTGCAGCGGGTGTGGACACGAGGTTGATAGTCGATGTGCCGGGAGTGCTGGGGCCATTTGTTCTGCCATTAAGGAGGTTGGCCGGTGCGTTTTCCTTCTCATTGGTGATTGCACTGGCTGCTCCCGTGTAGGGTACTGTCATTGTGCCTCCTACCGACAAGCCCCATGTCTTGCCAATGTGCTCATCTGGTATCGTTCCGCCAAAGATTTTATCCTTGAGCTGGAAAAAGATCTTGCCCGTGATCAAACTGTCGGAGCCAGCCTGATGAGCCTGGCCATATCTCTTCACCTTGAAAGACTCGGCAAGTGCTTCCAACCCTGACTTTTGCTCAAACTTTGTGAGAATCTCGGCCGCGGCAGGATCGCTGGGTTGGAATGCTCCCAGAGTTTGAGCCTTGATGGCCCATTTGAGCAGGTGCTTGACATCGTAGGTTGATGGAAACCAAATCTTCATCAAGTGTTCGAATCGCGAGCCATCATTAGGTAACACGTCGTCCATCAAGCATTTGGTGAAATATCCAAAGTCGTATCCGCCATGAAAGGACAGCCATTTTACTTCCTCGAGTTGGACGAGACCCGACGAGGTCATGAGTGCAGCAAACGCATTGGGCTCGATGCCGTCTATACGAAGCTTTTCAAAGTCAATGCCGGCTTGCTGCAAAGAGTGTATCGAGTTCTCATTCGCCATATCCTCCTTAATGTCGAAATGGAAATTGAACTGCCAAGCAAAAGGCAGCGAGCCATATGTTGCAAGGTACTTTCGCATAAACGGGCTGAGTTCCTTGGACTCGAGTTGTTCAGGTTTCGCTGCTGGGGTTTGTCCATTCTCGTTGAATAGTGCTATGCCAATTTGGATGATCTTGAGCATGTCGACATTGACACGCAAGGTCTGGTAGTGGTAATCGCTCTTGTCGATGAAGTTACCCATGGGTCGGCCGACGATGCCGGGAAATTCTGTGTCCTGTCATGCGATTCATTAGCCTCGTCCCTCACATGATCCAGTGCGGGACCTGGAAAGGGCTTACCATGGCCACATAGGGATAATCATTAATCAACTCCCTTATGACAGCCATTTCCTCATTAAGGTTATGCCGCCACACGTCGCGTATACGGCCTTTAGCGGCATTCCCGCTCCGTGTAGTGTGTTCGCCTCCAGGGCCATGGGTCTGTTGATGCGGGTGCTGCTGCTGTTGCTGAAGCTGCGCGCCGTGAGCAAACCCCATGCGCGCGGCGTGGCTGCCCAGACCAGTTTGGTCACCGGCCGCAGCCAGATTTCCTACACCAAAGCCCGCGCCTGCATTGATGCCAGCCGCGAGGCCACCAAGGCCAGCTGCCGCGCCAAAGGGGTTGTTCAGCTGAGAATTGCCCAGGTAGCCAGGCGGTTGGTGGCTGGCAGCATGGGACTGTGAAGGATGGTTCGCGAATTGATGTGGGTATGGCGAGATAGAGGGCGGTCCCGATTGGAACCTATTTGGCGGTTGAGGCATGGTATCTCATGTATCCCTCTTTGATCCTGCTTGCATGTACGAGACGTTGAAGAATCTTGGGATCGGTCGTCATGAGGGAAGCGCCGCCGCGACCTCGTGCAATGGATTGCCAATCGAGTCTAATAGGTTGATGCTTCTAGATTTGCGCTGGGGAGTTGGGATATTGTTGGGGTGTGCTCATCGAATATTGGCAAGTAGCTGGAATTGGGACTGGATGCGATCGTATGGAGGGGCGCCCGCGAGCGACAGGGCTCTGGAGAGGTGTAGTAGTACCAAGTATTTCTGGGAGCGCAACCAATACTGCGGAAAGATCTATGAACAGGTCTAATATTGTTTGTATTGTCTCGGATTTCTCGCCAGGAAACAAAAAAAAGCTGCTGTGAAATGCTGGAATAGATGCAGACCTGTTCTTGGGGTTTGAAGGATGGCTATCGAGGTTGGTCTCTGGCCTAAGCGCATCCACACGACAGAGAGACAGACGCCAGCCTTGGGAAGGTTGAGCACGGACCTTTTCTGCACCTGGCGGCGCGACCACCTCCAGCTACGATCCAGCTGCCCAGCCTACTTAGCCTGCCGGGCAGTCCACTAGGTACTTCCCCGGAAATTCGGAGAAACCCCAGCTCCAGCTTCAATTGATGCATAACACTCACTGCGCGACAAGCTCCAATTGCATGCCGCGGGACGTCGTCGTCTAGCATCAGAAGGACGTCCACCGAGATCATACCACCGCTCTGTAGAACAGCCATTGTTGTGCAGACAGTCGCTTTCAACCACAATGTTTCCCACAAGGTACGCCGAGCCATGATTATGCACCTTGTCCAGCTAGCGAGATACTAATTGATTCTATTGCAGGTTACTACGAGCGCACCACGGCGAGAAGCCCAACATCACCGGCTTCGACGTCCGAAAGTTTGCAGCTTCCGCTGGCCAGCCGAGATACGACCCCTGGGAGAGAGCGTGAGTGGCCGAGAGCGAGCGGATTGCACGCGATTTCAGGCCAACGAGTACTAACAATGACTCAGAGAGGCATGGCGCTACACTGGACAATTCTCGCGATGGAACCGACTCAAGGGTGCCTTCCCAGGATTGGGCATAGCGACTGTGGCCTTTGCGGCATACTGTGGATATGAGTACCTCTTCCTCAAGGACGACCACCACCACGGTGAAGAGCACCACTAAGGAGAGGAGGCCAAACGAAATTGGGTCGACGAGAAGTGTACATATACCACATTGCAAGAAGAACCGGGCGATAGAACAGACAGGAAGCGGACAAACGAATGAACATCAACAGAGTGCCAGTCCCCGTGATGCGTACAGGCACCTTGAATCTGGCGATCCCATCGAACGTGGGTCGAATGGAACAGTCATTGACATGAGTGTATAGGATGTGTATGGCCTCTCGACTTGGTCAATCGTGATCTCATGGTTTTCAAGTGACGACAATCAAGCTAAGAGGCGGAATTGCTGAATCTCAAGATTATTATGCAGGCATATGGATGTCTATCTTCTCGGCGGCCAAACCTCCACCCATTGGCTCAACTTTAGTAATGCTCTTTTGCAGCCCTCATGATTGGTTTGTTCGACAACACTGAACCCCATCCGGCTTTGTGACACTGTTGACCTCTTATTCTTGCATCTCAATTCCGTATCCTAAATAACTCCCAGTATTGTTTCTCCACTTTGTCATTACAATATTCAAATGCTGTAAGGTGGAATCTATAAATGTCATGTAATTATATTGAATAATGAATTAGAATGTAGACGGCACCTAGTTTGGATATCTCCTTGGTAAATTCAAAACGCCAGCCCTTGTGATGCAAAATGCCCAACGCATATATACAGTCTAATCCAATCGCAGATTTCTCGTAGATCTTTCTCATGTCGGTATTTCCGCGCCTGGGCTCGTCTATGCTTGACCAACGCCATTGACCAAATCTAGTGCACCTTCGACAGCAACCTCGAGCTCGCCAATTCTATGCTTGAGTCCCTTGTTTTCGTCTCTGAGTAATGAAACGGTGTCCCATGCCATGCTAGAATCTTGTCCCCTGCAGTTTCTGCACCCATCTCCTTTGTCTTCATCCTTGGCTGAATCGCCGGCAATGTTCTTCATTAGTTTCTGCAATGTGCTCATTTCCCGATTCGGCTTCTGGCGTGATGGCAAGCCCGGGGCTGGCACTCTTCCCTGGTACATGGAAGAGGCGCCAGAGGCCAAGTCGTAATGGCTCTCCGTGGCACTCGTCATGATTGTCGGACTGCGGCTACGCGAAAAGACGCTCTCGCTTTCGACACTATGAATGGATTCCGTGTCAAAACCGCTAACCTCTGATCGGATGGTGCCACCAGATTTGCGCCATTGTTTACGGTCGGCTTCATACCCAAGATCGTCATTGACCATGGATGCCCCGGCAACCTGAACAAGCCGTTCTTCCTGCCTAGCCTTCTTTTCATGGTTGAGCTCAGCCATGAGACGTTGGAGGGCCTGCTGTTGCTCGTCTGCTTTTTGAGCCATGAGCTCGAGCTGCATCTTTAAGCTCTCAACGCGGAGCTTGGCTTCCTCGGCTTCTTCCTTGTCGGCTTCTCGTTCTGCTTGAAGCTCCTCGAGAGCCATGGTGCGCTGGCGGAAAGCAGTCTGCATCTTGGTGCATAAACCAATAGCGTTCATTTGCAAGTTCTTGTAGGCGGCAGGCGAGAATGCTTCACGGCCAGACAGGGACTCTGGCGGCAGTAGCGCGGTCTCAATGTCCATATTTGCCAGTTCGTCGTAGTCTATCTGGGCAGACGATGCGTTTGTCCATCGGGCTTTGAGGGCGCCAAAGAATCCGGGACTGGCGGTTTGAGGAGCCGCAGTGGTACCCTTGGACAAAGCCTTTGGTGTTGTATCGATAACTAGAGCTTCTTGCCTGACAGGAATAGCGTCCTGCTTGCGCCCTACCCGTCCATCACCGGTGAAAGGCATATCTGACTGATGTCTCTGGTGACGGCGAAGAGGAGATCCTTCGCGCTGAGCTGTTCGTGGACGAGGTAAGGAGGGTGCGGTATTCTGCCTTCGATGCTGTAGTAGTTGTTGAGGGGCGGGCTGCTCGTCAGTGAATGCAGCATTCCGTAATCGAGTCGCGGGGAGGTATGGGGCGGCAGTGGTCTCCTCGGACGGTTCAAAGGTCAGCGGTGTAGTGCTGGAGCCCGTCGTCAGGTCATTGTGCCGACCAAACTCGCCATGCACTGGGCTGTCAATGTCCGCCCCTGGCCCATAGGAAGAGGGGCGTGGATTTGTGGAAAGCCCCCTGAGCATGGCAGATAATTCGCTGTTCGTATTGCGGTAATAGATGGGATGAGGGATAGGAAGGACCTTTCCTGGGCTTTTGCTTCCTCTGGGAACACTGCAGTGAACAGTGCACCGTTGAGATGATCCGTGGGGATTCCTAGGTCGGCCAATTTCCAGGATGGAGGGTTTAGTTGTTTGAAGTTTCGGGGGGCCCCGGCTCGGCTTATGAAATTGGCAGTTTGTCCCTTGACACCCTGTCGTGCTGCTGCCAGGCAGGGAAGGCTAAACTGGGGTTCGGCGGCTTTAAGCGGCGGCAGTGTCGCAAGGGAGCTTGACCGTCGTCCAGGAAAGACCCGTGATCTTTCGGGTTGGCGGGCGGGCGGGCGAGCGTGTCTTTCCGCAATGTCTTGAGCTTAGCTGCACATGGGACAGCTAATAGACGTAGAAAGACAAGAGTCGAATGTTTTCTCAGCAGACCCGACTAGTATCAAGCTGACTCGAGAATCTGATTGGGGTAAAGTTCTAGGCTTTTGGGCTTTTTGGGAATCTGCAAGTGATCAAGGTGATGAGTGACAGATGAGCCGCATCAAGTCCCCTAGTTTTACTTGCAGCTTGCAGCTCTGTCAAGGCGGGGGTTTCCCAAATCGCTTCAGCGGGAGTCTCTGAATTTGGCGGGCGGGAAGCTACTTTTGGGATCCTCCGTGCCGGATTTGCAGAATGCAACTGCTTCAGAAATGGGTGCGTGCAGACAGGAAAAGAGCTGGAAAAAAACAAAGGCTCAAGATAATGTTAATGTCAAGAATATATTCTCGTGAACCTTGAAAACGACGGCCAAGACCAACAAGATTCTTGTATTTCACTGAACTCTGGCTACGTCAAGGCAACAAAACAACGCGAGTGGTTGGGTTCCTCCCCCCGTTTCTACAGGGATGAAAAGGCACACTGGATCTGGCGAACAATAGTTGCAGTCGATCTGCGCCCCAGTGGATCTGAACGTTCTGACACCCCGCAAGCTTGTTCGTGGTTGGGTGGCTTTAGGGTGGCACAAGATTGTATTGGCCTGGGCCTCCAATGTCTGTCTGGTGCCACCTAAACTCAACGGTCGGTTCAGTTCAGCTCAGCTCGCAACCTCTACCTCACAAACCCAAGTCAGACATTTCTTTCATTCGACCAGCCTGGACCAGACACGCGCAGCCGTCCACGTCCAGCTTTTTGGGCTACACACGTGGACTGTCAGCACCTTGATTGATGAGTCATGTCAACCGGTCAATGGCTGTCGAAAAAAGGCCTGTTCAGTCGCGGAACTCTGCGACCATAATGGCATTTGGCACACGAATTGTTATGCATTGGTTCTTGAAAAGCATAATTCCTCCCGCTCAATATTCCACCGTCGCCATGAGCCTGGCCGCTCTCTGCAATTAATCAGACATGTGCTTATCATTCGTACCTGAGATCTACCGCAAACACCTCCACCATGTCTCACCGCTTCCTTTGAGAATGATCCATTTCAAAAGCAGGTACAAAGCTGACATGTGCATTATTGGATTTGCTTCCGGGGATATCTATACTACATGACTTGGGACCCGCAGCTACTTATTCAAACGAGCGTCACTCCGAGACTTGGAGCCGAGTTCAATGGTCTCAAGAAAGTTTGTCATTGTCGAGCTATGACCACTGACCTGTTGGGAATCTTTGTTCAGATTCACTGGTTGTTTATTCATCCTGATCTGGCGTGCAAGACGATCGAAATCGATGCTTGATGACTAAGCAAAGTTTGTATCCGTCTTTAAACAAGACAAAACTCTCATTTGACGGTAACAAGCATCTGCGACAAGATCTCATCCGAGTCGATACCCTGAGGATTCGCTGCGCTCAAGGCATCCTCGACATTTTGTGGTGGGTAGATCAACTTTTGGTTGATAAAAGTCTTCACAGACTTGGCAGAATTACCTGATAACTTGATCTCCCTGTGCCACCCTGCCGTGACCACGGCACCCCAGGCCCCAAGGTCAAGGCAAGTATTATATGCTGGCTGGGAATATTCAATCATTGGCTCTCCCAAGAGCTCTGCCGCAGCATTATGGCCAGAGATGCGGCCCAAAGCGAGAGCATGTTGACAAGACATGAGTGCATAGTGCCCTTCTGCATCGGCAAGGGCATAGGCTGTATCGCCGGTAGCGTAAACATTGCGAGTCGAGGGCACGCGGAGCCACTGATCGACGTGGAGTCGAGAGAGAGCATCTCGTGGCCCAGCTATCTGCTGTGTTAACGGTGTGGCCCTCATACCAGCTGTCCAGATAGCTGTCTTGGTGTCGATGCGCTCTCCAGATGCAAGGTGCACAGCATCAGCATCAATGGCTGTAACTGCCAGTCCAAGTCTGACCTCGATGCCTAGAGATTCCAAAGCCTCCTTGATGGCCGGACGAGGACCGGATCCGAGCTCTGGGCCAATCTCTTTTGCGCTCTCGACAAGAATGATGCGGATTTGTTTGTGTTTTCCTAGCCTCCCTGGCAATTCTGTGGCGAGCTCAAGACCAGTGAAACCTCCACCACAAATCACAATGGTGTCACGGGCCGGGGTGGGCGGCAGTGATGCTAGATTTTCCAGGTGAGACTCGAGTTTGGCTGCAGATCTAATGGTATCAATGTCGAATGCGAATTTGGCAATACCAGAAACTTGGCTAGGTCGTGCGACTTGGCTTCCCGCCGCGAGAATCAGGCGCTCGTATTGAATCTTGGAATCGGTGCCCGACTTTGGTTCAAACTCGATAAAGTTGCCTGCCGTGTTGATACCAGTGACTGTGGCTTGTACGAATCGAATGCCTGCGGACTCAAACAGGGGTCCTAACGGACATGCCATGTTTGAAACGTTGGCCTCGTAGTATCTTGGACGAATTCCTAGAAGTGGCTCAGGGGCAATGACAATGACTTGCAGCTCCTTTTGCTTGAGCTTGATCAACCGTTGAGCTGCGAGGGCGCTCCATACTCCACCAAAGCCGGCGCCGATTATGACGATATCGCCTTGAAGCATTGTGAAATGATGTTTACAAAAAGTGATAAGAGGAGTTGGAAAAGGACCAAGGTTTGCTTGAAAAAGAGGAGACGACCGACCTTGTTTTAGTCGGCTTTGTTGATTTGTATCGATGTCCGATCAGTCTTCATCAAGATCATACTTTATACATTCTTGCTGCATGTTTTAATACCGTGAGAGTCCCGGTCAGGCTATTCGCATTCGCAGTCATCATATCTTGGCTGGCGTACGTGGTCATCCGCAAGCTCTGGTGGGGTCAATATCCGCCGGCGCCGTCCAGTCGCCGGGTACCCATAAGATTTCAATACCCGACCCGAATACCCGCGTCTCCACTTTCTTTAGCAACGGCCACAAGAAGCTGACCAAACCGAAATAGGATGTAAAGGGCCATCTCATTCACTCATCGACTTGACATTTACATGGATCCGAATAGTGTACCGGCGTCTCGAGGAAGCAGAGCAACACGCTCATCGCTAGCATGTCTTCCTTGCAGATCCCGCCATCTCAAGTGTGACGGCAAACGTCCGGAATGCGCTCGGTGTACCGAGAGCGCACGGCAATGTCATTATACCGAATCTCGCCGTGGTGGAGTCAGCCGAGCGAGCCTGGCCGAACGGCGCAGTCGTCAGTCTGCGCTGAACAATAACAGCAGCCATTCTTCCTCGTGCGATGACATGCCGGAAATTAGACAAGAACAACTTGCCAATGGGTATCCGGATCAAGACTACTCGTTTCGACTACCAGATCTTGATGTTGTTAGTGATCCGGCTGGGCTAACAAGTGCCACGACTTCAAATGCAGAAACACCAGCAGGGCCTCTTGATCAAAACTACAGCCTCGATAATGATGCACTTGTTCAAAAGTTTTATCGGGATTTTCACAGATTCCACCCAATGGTGGTCCCATGGGAGCATTTGGTACGACTGTACCAGGATCCTGACAAGCAGCCGAGATTGGCTCCATTGGTTGCGGTTCTTCGTCTGATAGGGCATCTCTTTGACGCCCAAGCATGGTCTCAACCACTCCAAAATTTCGTCGAGGCCTGTTTCTCCCAAGCGCATCCGGCCGAACCAGTCATGGTGCAATGCCGACTTTTGTATTCGATGGCGCTATTCTGGTTCGACAAGAAAGACGAGTCAATGGCAGAGATGGACTCGGCCGTTCAGCTCGCCACTACACTGGGAATGCACCGTCGTGATTTTGCCACTGCGCACGGCAGTGGAGACCCAGTACTGGCCGAGTCTTGGAGAAGAACATGGTGGTGGATCTATATTATAGATGCCTACTACGTAGGGACTCTACGCAACCGAGAATTTGCGGTCAAGCATATTGACGCGGATGTTGAGCTACCTTGTAATGAGATCGAGTATGAGCAAGGGGTAAGTGCTGAATACTATGTGTTGTGCAACTCTGCTCACTTTCATGCTAGGATATTCCGACGCCTCAAACACTAGAGAACTTCAACTGCCGCGAGTTCTATCCTGAAGCAGAATTCTCATCCTTTGCATACTTGATTGGCGCGGTCAAATCTGCAGCTTCGGCCATCACCATGTCACCGAAAAGATCAAGCAAGGAAGCGTCTTCCCATGTAATACAAGCCGCTGATGCCATGATTGATGGGTGGCATCTATTATTGCCAAAGAAGCTCAAGAATGTCATGTCTCGATCTGGGGACATTGATGAGCTCATGTTTCAAGCACATTTGGTGTTACATGTGTATGTATCTCTGCAATTCCCTTGATACATGACTCGGCTCACTCTTTTAGTGCCACGATTGGACTACATAGGCCGCTATCAGAACTGAGATTTAACTCTGTAGAGGATCACTCCAGCTGCGCTCGAGAACCACGGCCCGAGATGACCGCCACGGAACAAATCAGCATACATACGATACGCGTCCTCCGATCCGTCGAAGCCCAAGTGCGCATCCTGGCGTTGCCAGTGAGGCCCTTTAATCACACACCCTTTACCACGTGCATGGTGAGCGAGGGCACGCTCGCACTGCTTTCTGCCTGCAACTTTCTTCTCGAGGGCAAAGAGCGTGAGATTGCCCGGGATCAGATCCGCCTCATCATTGGATGCTTGACATCGCTCGGAGAGTTGTGGCCTCGAACGGCGAGGAATGTCAAGGAGATTCAGTTCATTGCTCGCCATGTGTTTGGTCTCGAGTCAAAAGGCGGCGGAAATGCGACTCCAACATCGATACAAGAACCTATTCTTTGTGGCGGCGGGGAGAGTCAAAAGCTTTCTGGGCCGGACCTGGAGATACTGGAAAGCAATGGGATTTTGGCTGACGGTATTACGAATAATGCGGATGATTGGTATACCACTAGCGATCTGTCCAGAGAGCTTTCTTGGTGGATTAATGAGTAACGATGTTGCCACAAATTTTCTTCACGCATCACGATTCTGCCACGACGCTGCCGTGGTACATGTGCCCTCGGAAGAAAGTCGGGAATATGTCAAACAGTAGGTAAGAACCGTATAGAGTACAGCGTTATTGACTGGTTTATACATTGCTAGAGGTTCTACAATTCCTAGATCAAATTTCGACGTGTCCATTCAAGAATCCATGGTCATGTCAATCACCGCCTTGTATCCCCGGTTCCGTCCTCGCGCATTCGACCATGCCTGCTCCGCGTGCTCGATTGAAAATGTCCGGACTTTCAGGGCTTCCACCACTCCATCATCTATGAATTTTGCCACCTCGGCAAGACGCCGACTATTGGGCGAGACGATGAAATACACATATCGCACACCGGGATGAGCCGCCGACTCGGCAGCAGGACCGCGACCAAAGGCCCAAGGCGGCGGCGGATCCGCAACCGTAATGATGGTGCCTTCATCACTGACGGTCTCCCACGTCTTGGTGAGCATCTCGCCTCCGACGGTGTCAAAGACGACGTCCACGCCCATTGTCAGCTTTTCCCAGTCAGGAATATGGTAGTCGAGCACCTCATCTGCACCCAGCCGTTTCAGAACACTGTGGCTATTAGGCGAAGCCAGCGCAATCACCTTGGCACCCGTGAGATGCTTGACCAGCTGCACAAATATTGACCCGACGGCACCCGAGGCGCCAGTGACAAGCACCTTGGCCACTGCGCCAATCTTTACATGGTCCGCTATCGCTTCCCAGGCCGTTAGTGCCGGAATGGGCAATGCAGCCGCTTCAGCGTGCGAGATGGACGAGGGCTTTGATGCAATCTCGTCGGCGTGACAAATGACGAATTCCGCCTGGCCCTCGCCTCTATCTGCGTGCAATAAGGCGTAAACTTCCTGGCCAACCTTGAGAGGACCGTCGTAATCAGGACCTAGAAAGGCAATGGTTCCGGAAACATCATGCCCTGGTATTCGGCTGGCCGTCCGGTATAGTTCGGGCCATGTGACCTCGTCTGCAGTGATGCCTGCAGCGTGTACTTGAACAAGTATCTGTCTGCCTTGAGCGATGGGCCTGGGCACGTTTTGGTTGCAGATGATATGGGGGGACGACGAGTCTCCGATCACTTGGACTGCTTTCATTGTAAATCAAAGTTGTGCAAGTCTAGTGTGGTGCAACACAATGTCGAGGACAGCGAAGACAGAAAGCGCAGGAACTCGTACAAATAGAAAATCCAATCATAATATCATGACAAAAGGGTCTCTCAAGAGCACTGATCATCTCATCATTCAAGTTTATCTAGTATTTAGTACCATGAATCACGACCTCGGGAATCAGACGGTCGGATCGTGGTCCAGGTCCGTATAGGCTATCCGGCAATCGAGTGGGTCCGCCCGATCCGGATGATCAACAATAGACAATAATCGGGAAACCATTGGCTTCAAAAGTGTACTGGCCGGCCCTTTTTTGCTTTTGTGAACCTGCAAGTCGATTGAAGGAGAGTAAACATCTCGTAAATATTGAAAGTATTCAAACATGAGTCCACAAGAAAAGTCAGTCTTATTAGACAGCTACACCATCAAAGGTCAACGCTAACCAGTGATTATAGGGCTCGACCCCGGGAGAATGTCACGATACTCTACGGCCATGAGCTCAAGAATGCGCCAGGAAAGTCCATTGTGACTATTGAACTGGATTTCCCTCCAAACGGCTACACTCCCCCTCATCGGCACAGCGGAGCCACCGTCATTGCGCTCGTGACTGAAGGAAGCATCTTGAGCGGTATGAATGGGAACCCGCCCAAGGTGTACCAGGCAGGAGAACACTTTTTGGAGCAGCCTGGTTGTCATCACACAGTGGGAGAGAACAATAGTGCGACTGAACCAGCCAAGGCGATTGTGACCTTTATTATCGACACGGAGATTGTCAAGGCGGGTTATGAAAACCTTACAGTTTTGGACGAATAGGTTCCGTGATTCATAATAGAATGCGGTCTCAATATACTGTATTAGCTGTGGAAATGGGAGTTCATGATGCTGGAAAGGGTAGCACAGCTACTCCTCTCAGACCATCAGTACTCTTGGCTCTGATACCGAAAATGACATTATCCTTGCTCAAATTCACCGTAGCGTTATGAATCAACCCGACATCGAGCACATGATCCCAAAACGGGGCATCCGTAGCTCTCCAGACCACTTCATAACTCGCCACGTCGTCTTCGCCCCCGGAAGGCGGGTCCCAGTAAAAGACGCTGTCATTGCTCAGCACCGTCGAGTTGACCCTGACATTTCTCGGCGCCCCAGGCGAGTTGGCCAGACTCCAGAGCGCCGCCGCATTGACGCGGGCGACGCGGGCAATAAAGTCAAAGTCGCAAAACTCGGGCAAGTCACCATACTGCTTGCCGCTGCCATCGACGCGGACGTCCTGGTGCTGGTGCGCAAAATCCTCATTGGGCTCGGTGAAGCGCGCGGCCGGGTATCCCGCCTCGAGAAAGGGCCGGTGGTCGCCGCCGCGGAGGTAGCGGTCCAGTCGGTACACGACCGAGACGTTCATGCCCGTGGCGGTATTTTCGGCGACTTCCTTGACCAGTCGCGCCAGGCTGCGCGCCGGGGTGTCGTTTTCGCCGCCAATCGTGAGGCGCGTGTCCCGGATACTGGAGTTTTCCACGCTCAGAGGCGGTAGTCCTTGTGCAAAGAGCCGGATCGTGTAGGGATCCGTTGTCCCATCGTCGGCCCGTGAGGACCCCACAATGTCGTTGGTAAACATGCCCTCGACATTGACTCGCGGCGTCGCATTGGCGTACGTCTGCGCCAGGTGTTGGGCTCCGTAGAGACCCTGCTCCTCCCCGGCCACGGCTACAAAGGCGATGCTCGCCCGGGGCTGAGGCAGGTCGGGTCGCGACATGATGCGCGCGAGTTCCAGGGAAATGGCGACGCCCGAAGCGTCATCATCGGCGCCGGGCGCATCCGATTCGTAGTCATTGACATTGGACACGCGGCTGTCGTAATGGCCCGAGACAACATACAGTCTCTCTGGTGTCTCGGTGCCCTTTAGGGTCGCGACAACGTTGCTAATATTGACGGGAAAGAGAATGCGGTTGCCGTCAGGCTGCTGTATGTAGCTGTTAAGGTTTACGTCAAGTCTGCCGTCACTGGCGTTGGCATATGTCTGGAACTCCGAGGCAATCCAATCCCTCGCCGCGCCAATCCCACGAGTCGTGTTTGTTTGCGTTGAGAGAGTGTGGCGAGTTCCAAAAGACACGAGTTTAAGTATACTGGCTTCTATTCTCGCGGGGTCAACCTGAGATAGGATCGAGACCAGGTTCTCTGAAGGCTCTTGAGGTAGGTTTGGTCCCCCGACCGTGGTGATGGGCCAGTTTGTGGCGTCGCAGGAGAGAATAGATGACGGCTCAATCTGTCGACCAAAGAGCTCCTCAATCGAAACTTGCGAGGAAGCAAGAGCACTTGTTCCCAGCAAGATGCCCGCGACTGCGTTTTTCGCCTTCATATTGACTGTTATCGATGAGACAATCACGATGCCATAGCTGTCCCGTGGACTTTTGGTAAGATTGAATCTTGTGAGCTTACCTTGGATCTTGACATGATATATACAATGTCGAAATATGGGTATCTATGCACGTTTGATAGCAAAACCCTGTCTATAACACCTTCACATAATGGAGGTTGCAGTTAATACTCAATGCCAAGACCTGCCGAAGAATTTAGGCGAGCCAATATGACCAATGAGGGCATTCCAAGATATGCAATACCTGCCACACTGCATACCAACGGTACATTACATCGTCATGATGCGGCAAGTCGTGATGTCGAGACTTTACGATCTCGAAGCATTCTAAATTTCGATATTTTGGGGTAGCATGTCCTTGAATACCTACCAAAGTTCTCCGTGCCAACGGAAGCCATTGCTAGTCAAGTTTACTATTGCCCCGTCTCCGAGGATGGTCTTCTTCAATTGAAATGACAATCAGGTAGTGGTACAGTTCAATTCAATATGTCCAAGATTGCTCATATCTCCTATACAGAACCAACTTGATAATGCCAGTAAGCATCATCGGGTATAGACTATCGCTCTTAATATGTACATGAAATAAGGTGTCAGTTCCGCAACTAATCGTTGAGACACATTTACTCGTAAGCCAAGATCTTGGCAACAGCTGCCTCGGCGGCAACCATGACAGTAGCCTGGAGGTTACCGGTAGGAAGGTCAGGGTGGATACTGGCGTCAGTGATGAACTGAAAAGAATGTTAGTCGCTTTCAAATGAGAAGAGAGAAGAGACACTTACCAGGTTGTCCATTCCGTACACCTTGGCGTTGGTGTCAACCACCGAGGTACCGTTCTTGCGGCCATCATCGGTACCCATCTTGGCGGTACCGACAAAGTGGTCACCAATGGTGAGAGTCTCGTAAATAGCACTGGTGTTGGTGGCAGAGATCAGTGTCAGACCTGTACCAGGAGCGGTGATGGCGTCCACCATGGACTGGATAAACATCTTGGCGGCTTGCTGATCGCCGGCCGTCTGCATGTAGGGGTTCGAAGTGACAATGGTGTTGCCGTTGGTGTCAATGCCCAGAGATCCGGACGAGGTAAGACCGTGAGTCATGTAAGAGGTGATGGTAAAGATGCCCTCGCCAGTAGGAGCACACGAGCCCTGGTAGTAGCGAGTAATGTTGTCGGCTCCGACGTTGGACGTGAAGAAGATGGCACGGTGCTTGCCCTCGGTGAGAAGACCCGAGTTGATAGTCTCGTACGGCTCAACAGAGGCATCTGTGCCGTTGAGAATGGCGTCAAAGTCGGCCATGCCAAAGGTTCCGTTGGTCTGGACCTGGATGGCAAAGATGGGGTGGTCCATCAGGGTGGCGCCAACAGGCAGATCAAGCCACTGGTCCTGGGGAGGAAGAGTGGAAACGTTGCTGACACTGACGTTCATGAGCTGGGCCTGGGGTCCGATGCCAGAGTTGTACAGAATACGGGGAGTGGACAAGGCACCAGCAGACAGGACGACTCTTCCGCCCTCGGCAAGTCCAATAGTCTTGCGTGTGCCGTTGCTAGTCTCGACCTCGACACCAGTCACCTGGGAGCCGGATCGCACGAGTCCGAGAACCTTGGTGTGGAGCTGAAGAGTAAAGTTGTCGAGTTCCTCGGCCAGAGGCAGGTATGTGCGGACCGGGCCGGCACGCTTGCCATCCTTGATGTTCCAGGCAGGGTAACTGTAGACCTCGAACTTTTCGTCGGGCTGCTCGCTCATGTCGACAGACTTCCAGCCGAGGTTGTCGAAAAAGTTGGACAGGATCGAGTACAATTGTTGGTCATATCTCTGGCCGTCGGCCGAGGGCAATGTCGTTCCGGGGTTGCGCTCGTACAGTCTTTCGGCAGCGGAAGCGACATCATCCCAGTTCCAACCCTTTGGCCACTTTTCAAAGTCGTGAGCGGGAGGGTGCACAAAGACCATGTAGTTGACGGTAACACCACCTCCCAACACGCAGGCTGCATAATTGGGCACGTCGGAGCAAATGTATTCGGTCCAAACATCGAGACCGCCAATGTCAGCCGACAGGCCAGGAACGTCAATCTCGGTCAAGGTGTCGTTCCAGCTGAGAGTGTGGTTCGATCCAGTTGCGGCCGTTGGTCCGGATCCTCGCTCAATCAAGAGAACCTTCTTTTGGGCCTCGGCCAGCCTCTCAGCAGTGATGATTCCTGCTGGTCCTCCGCCCACGACGATATAGTCATAGACTTCCTGACAAGTAGCCGACACACCAAGGGCCAAGCCCAGGGCAGCAGTAAAGCCTCTCAACAATGAACGTCCCATGGTCAATGATTTTGCAACTGTCGCGTCTACCGGAAAGAGGACCGACTACCCGATACAGTTGCGACCCGGTGCGTTATATAACTCTTGAGCCTCGAATCCATGGCAACTACAAACGAGTCATTTCTCCATCTCTCAGAGGATCTTGATTCTGCTCGATTCGACATTGGTGATTTACATAAGCCTGACAAACATCTAATCAATCATGTTAATGTGCACCATGTGGTGCTCCTACTAGTGGGACCCCGGGATGCCCGGTTTTCATCTCTTATTTCGAGTATACCTCCTACTACTTATGTAAAACCTCCGGGGAGTTTGCTCCACTTCTACAAGCAAGATTTTCTGGAATGCATGACACGAGTAAGATATGGCGTTTTTAACTTTCATCGTCATTGTTATCAGATCAGAATTTTTCAAAAGGGAATACCTGGGTTTAATTATGAGGCTCTTTTGCCCATGACATCATTTGAATATTTGTCTTGTTTCGCATGAATAGCAACGTTCATTTTCGACTTTATGCTTGCAGTGTGTACCCTTGGTATGCCGACCAGGTTCTCCATGCAGTGAGAAAATTTAATGGGGCTATTTTACCCAAGGGCATGGATATGGATCACTAAAAAAGCCTCGCCGAGACCCGATCACCACGAGAGGCGCGCGGGATGATACGTAGCTTGAGTTTATTCCGCACGGATTTATGACTAAGGGATGACTTGAACATTTGGCAGCAAATTTCAATACCGTGTGGATCGCCGTCAGGTGCCTTGCGTTCCTTGCGTTCCTTGCATTTCGTAGGGTTGCCGCGATCCATCCAACGCATTATGCAATTCAGCAAAATGCATGCAAAATGCGTGCAAAATAGAAAGTTATATAATACACTAGCCACAGCTAAGCCACTCTAAGCCACAAATATAGTATTTTATAGGTCTTCAGGGGGGTTAAATAAGGGGTTATATCGTTAATTGTATATAAAAAGTGGCTATTATAGGCTCCCGGGGGCCGGTTACAAAGTAGTATGCATAGGGTCCAGCATAAGGGGGTTTAATCTACCATATTACCAGCTCCCGGAAACCGGCGGAATACACCTAAATCAGCCCTAAATAAAAGCTTTACGTATAATAGCTATAAAAACCTATAATTAATAAACTCTAATTTTTTTTATTAATTACCGCCTTAATAAGCCTATTTAGGACTGCTAAAATAACCTCGTTTTTAAATTTTAATTTATATAATTTATTTTTAAGTAGTTATAATTCTAGCTTAACGTTATTTTGCTATTATTTACCACCTAAAGCCTATTTGTTTATATAGATAAAAATTAATTAATTAGCTAAATTAGGGCGCAGCCTATTACGCGTATTATTATATAGGTAATTTATCGTTAAAAAGGATCGTTTATTAGGCACACTATTCGTAATTATGCTAAATAATCGTTTAGCAATTATTGCGATTTAAACTCCCTCGGCTTTATAAAAATCCCAGAATATAACGACGCTTATACCGTAATTCTAAAACTTTTTATTATTACTAAAATAATTACGGCGATTCCTAAAGCTAAAATAATCGTTAAAAACGATCTTATAAAACACGCCCGAAAGGCAGTATTATTCGAAAAACTTAAAGATTTGCTATTATATACTAAAGGGAACGAAGGCTATAGCACTTATTAAAGCAATAAAATTAAGCATATATATAGCCTAATTAATAATTATAATTTGCTTAGTTTAGCGAATCGTAAATATTTTATTAACCTTAGCCTAATTAATTAACGGATATAAGATTTTTAATGCCTATAAATTTTCCTATATAGCTATTTATCGCCGGGTGATAAATCCGACGTATACGCGGTTAAATTCCGATAATTTTTATTGCTTAAAAATAGGTTTTAATATACGGATCATTATATCTAATAAATCCCAAAATAGCGTGCTTATAATTATATTAAATACCCGGGATAGCTTTGCTTTTTTTTCGTTATCGTAGTAAATTTATTATTATATATTTAAATTTATTATTTTAATACGCTAATTTTGCAATACTAACTACACTTTTTTAATAAAGTTAAAGGCTTTAATTTAAGAACCTTAGCGAATTTTAATTATAGCTATAAATATAAAAACTTTGCCTTAAATAGCCATTATTTCGTCCTTTAATCGGGCTAACTAAAGCTTTAAATAAACGAAAAAACTAATTAGTTTTATAGCCTAACTAAATATTTTTTTAAAGCTATTAATTTTAAAAACGTTATATATTAGCAGCTAAGTGCCGTAAAAATCGCAAAAAATCCAAAAATAATGCTTAAACTCGGGAAATTGCAATATTTGCTATAAAATAGCCCGTACGCTATTATAAGTATTTAAAATAAAGGCATTAACTTTTTGTGGCTTATCTTCCGTTAATAATAAAACCTTTTTATATATAATTTTTGCTATATTTTCGGCTATATAGGCCTCCGCGCTTATATTAATATTACGCTAATATAAAAAATCCCCTTTAAAAAAGTAATAAAAATATTAATTATACGGTTGCTAAATATATCGTTTAATCCGTTATAAATAATATTAAAAAATAAGGAATTCTCGATCCGGGCTGCCACCTTCGTTATCGTAAATTTATATATATAAAGGATTAATTTCTCGATTAACTAAATCCTCCCTAATAATATCCAGGCTGGCTAATAAAGCTTTAATAGCTTTAATATCTTAAAATCCTCGAATAAATAAATAAAGCGGCCGCCGTAAGCTATAGCCTTAGCAGCTTAAAAATCTAAGGCATCCTTTTTATTAATAATTAATTGCCTAATATATATAAGCAATTTGCCTTTATTTTTAACTTTAGCTTTAAAGGCTTTTTTAAAGCGTGCTTCCTTTAATAGCTTATATAAAATCGTTAAATAGGCTTTTATACGCATAAAAAACGCTATAGCTATATAGCCGCAATATTTGCATTAGGCTCGATTTCCCTTTTATTTTTCGTCTTTAAAAGCAGTAAAATAACGCTATATATTTAAATTTTTTATAAATATAATAAATAACAAAATAATCGCATTAACGAAAGGAATTAATTAATGCTATTAATTTTTGCTTTTTTTATTATATTCGTAATATTTTTTATTATTAAAAAAAATAAGAGTATTTTACGGTATAAAAGTGGTGATACAGGGGTATTTTTAGCGTATTTTACGCATTATGCAATTAAGTGCATTATATGCGTATAAACCGTGGTTTTGCATATAAACGGCATCCCTAGCATTTCGGCATTTGTCTCGATCTTTGCCTGTTCAAGCCGAGAACCGCAAACGGTTATCGATAGTCCAGGCCTTGGCTACAGGCCGCATAGCATCATCATGTGCGCTATAATGGCTGGGCAGTGGGCCATTATTTCCCGCGCGCGAACGCTAAGATCACTCGGCGGTTTTGGCTCTCCGAACAACGGATGTTGCGCGCCGTACCGACGTTGCCGTACTCTGTACTCTTCGTATCGCTTTATCGGCCTCTTGCCTAGTTGGATTGATGAGCCAGGGAGTGAAAGGGGTCCAATGTCACCAACGGTGTGATTCTGGAAAAGAATTCTTCCTGAACATGATTGAACCAAGATGGATTTGTCAGTCCAAGACGGCTGCAGAGTAACATGAGGCACGATGAAATGAAAAACAATTGATAATGAGCCATGTCATTGAAAAAATCAATCCAATGTGTCTTATTTCGAGGAATTGTCTCTAAAATGAAATTTCCAACTCAGACTTTCCCACGATAACCTAGTGTGCAAAACTTGTTCAAGATCCCAGCGGTCCAGGGCCCGAGGGGCCAGTGGAGAACATCTTGTAAGCACTGCGAAAGGCGTCGCTCTGAACGTCTAGCGGGACTTCGACTCCGTCGGGCCAGAGAAAAACTATAAAGTATGAGTATAAACATCAACCAAGTGACAATAATGTGGCCATCTTACCTTCTGCCCAAAAGGCATCAACACTACCCTCCTTGGTAGCAAAGGTCGTGGAGCAGACATTGTGGGTAGTCTTTTCCTCGCTGCCGCAATGCGCCGGTTCAACATAGCGCCCGTTGGTCTGGGCCTCAATGTAATTCTTCTCGGTCAAGGTGCCACAGGTGGTGATCATTTTTGGGAAAAAGACCCATTTGCTCGCATAGTCTGGACTGCCGCTGGCCTGTCTTTGCACCGTCTTGGCCTTTGTATCGGCCTTGGACCCTATAGATGATAGTGTCAGTAAAAGAAAAAGTGCAGTCAGTGATGCCTGGGAGAAAGGGACATGAACGCACACTGGAAGCTAGCACCGCCGCCAATGACTGATTCGTACGATGCCTCCAGTCCGAGCGAGAAGCCATAAGACACTGTAGTCTCTTGGCCTTCCTCGAGATTGATACCCTTGCTGCCGGGTTGCTGAAGCTCTCCGAATTTGCCTGGGGCAGTCTCCCAGCGACCTACAAAGCCAACGCGTTTGACCTCGCAGTCTATCAAAGAACATGTCAGCTAGTCCCGAACACTGACTTGGAAAACCGACCGAGGACGGGTGGGTAGGCACTTACAGACTCGGCATTGGTTCTCGTTTACTGTAATCATGTCCTTGGTTCCGCATCTCGAACCATTGTCTTCGAGGACATGACCCGCGGGTTTGTCGCAATCAAAACGTTCTTTGCCAGTGAAATCATCACCGCAGGTATCTCTGGTTGCAAGCGAGAAGAGGTTTCCATTTGACGCGAGCTGCGGTAGACTCAGAGCTGAGCCTACCGCGCTCAAGGCGAGAATCACTCGGTTGAAGTGCATCTTGAGAGGCCAAGATGAAAAAGTACGCGCAAAGTTTGATGAACGTAGATTGAAGTAGTTGGTTCGGTAATAGAATGAGTTTGTTAATAAGTAGTTCTTGTTCGCCTGTGTGAGATTTTGCTGTCTTTTATAGATGATATCCAGTATTGATCATTAATGACAATCATGCCATTCATGAAGCAACTTTGTGTTCATAACAGTCCAATGATATGACAATGTTCAGGATTTAGAGGATTACTCTTGGTCGTTTTCAAGTCCAGCATGTTGTGCAAAATCTACAGAATATCTAAATTTGAACATGCGACTGGGCCTCCAAGCCACTTACGATTGTCCGCTATCATCTAGAGGTGATTGTTGACAAGACAGAATCGCGGCATAGCCTCTAATGACCAGTGCTGATGAAGAAAGATCTGCGAGCAAGACTATAGTCGCTAGGTTAGAATCCGTAAAGTATCATATCAGCCAATGCCACAAAGGAAGACCAAGGGTAGAAACTTGTGTTTGGCCAATCCTACAGAGCCCAATATATCTCAACAGCATCCTATTATCAAGTTCATGAATTGATAGTGGAATAAAAGTTGATTTTCCCGACAGAAATGGTCAGATTTCTTTGACTCAAGGGCAGCGAAACAGTTCGAATGCTTGCAGGGTTTCTTTCATTGAGCTGGCGACACTTGGCTACCACATTCTTGTCCCGGCTCGAGTGAAGAAAATGCCTATCTAATGTGCTCAAGATGCTCTGAATCGTGTGTATCATTATTGTCGCATAAGCCTTTGTCAAGTCTGCTGAAGGTCTGATGATTTTGACGTCAGGTTTAGAAGTCAGGGCACAGTGCTCATGTCATCCCCCAAACGAGTTGAAACATTAAATTCTATGCCAGCTTGGGTTCAATGACTGATTAAAAATCATCTTGACCCAATCCTTCATGACATGCGCCAAGTATATTTCAGAAAGGGGGTCACTGACATGTTGTGCTTGATCATATCATGCAAATACTTGGCATTTCGCCTCATATGCATAGCCTAGTCACCACGTTCCCATAGCCTTGGCAAATGCAAAAGGGTTTGCTTGTGATTAGAAATCTATGATATGATAATATTTGTAAAGCATTCATATTTAGCAAAGACGAAGACGGCTAAAATACTTCCCGATTTGTCTTCTTTTCAACATTTCCATTTGCTCAGTCGTACATCACAATGTCTCGAACACTCAACATCGAAATATACCCTGTCAGTTTTTATTTTTAGGATTTCCATGTACGACTAAAGTCTTTCCTCCATTGTTGAATATCGAGACTAGATTGGATGTTGATCATGGCAATCGATGGTGTGTTGACCATGGCAACAGAGAAGGAATGTGTAACAAAGGGTGGTGTCACTAATCTTAAGACGCAACCTCATCGGGAGCAGTTCAATAAAGAGCTGCAATACTCCATGGTCCAATGTGTTCATCATGAAATCAAAAATTTGGAGCCCCAAAAGACAGTTCAATATGTAGAATTGGGTCAACATGCCTGTTCTTTGAGGCAACCCCAGCCCATACAGTGTGAGGAGAAGTTGAGCCGACAGAGATGCCCTGTTTGAACAATAGTAAATCCTCGAGGCAGCGTTACATTCTGTTGTTCGCACAGTGTCACATTCCCTGGCCTCTCGAATTGCCTGCATCTTCCATCCTTCAGCTCTGCCAGCGCATCTTTGAAGACTTCAGCCGCACCTATATCCCTGCTGATAATATGTGTCGCCAAGATCCTCATGTAAAAGCTACAACGAGGAAAAAGACTGTTACACAACTATGGAGCCCCAGGAAACTTTTCAAGTCAAGCATATTTCGCCATTTACAGTCATGGAAGAGTTGAGCGATGCCGACTTTACCTCTGTGCCGTTGGATGAACCAGGCTTTTTTGAGGCCGCAACAAATGAGCAGGTATCTGCTGATGGATTGCTTTCCCCGCATGAACCTGCGACGCTGATATTCCAATACTCAGGGCGAACATGTATCCCGACACGGCTCAATCAATTGGTCTGATTTTGATGGATTTCTTGACCTCAAAGTGAGTGCCGATCATGACCGTTGGCTCTAATTGTGTTCTGAATCATACAGGGATCATACGAGTTTCCAGTAATGTCGGAAGCTGTCAGAAATAACCGGCCTTCGCTTCGAGTCATGTAGGAATATGTTGTTGCCTAGGCATTTCCAGTGCTAATGATCCAAGCAATGTACCTCTGGGAAAGTCTTGGGACAAAATGAACATGACCAGAGATGATTGGGACCGCCTGCAGTCAAAATTTGAGCTTCACGAGTCGACAGTCTACACCATTGTCGATTTGACGGGCGCTTTCGCCACCTACTTTTATAGGGCAGCCGACAGCTCTCGTTCTGTTGAGCGCATCAGTCAAGTTGCCAAACTACATGTAAACTTGATGCAGCATTGATAACATATCAATAGAAATTGTCATTAAAGTTGCAAACAAGATCACGATTGGGTACGAGGCCCTATCGCTGGCGTTTGACCTCAAGACATTGGCCACTAGAGTATTGCTCCACGGTGCCATGCCGCCGCAATGGAAGGATATTGTCCGACTCTTGTACAATTCTCTTCACTTGTGCCCTCATCCACTGTTGCTGCCCGTGTTGGTGTTTGCAAGTCACCGCAGGAACATGGAGCGTTACCGAACCCACATTGACAAGTCCATCCTGGCGCTGGAACAAGAGACGGGCTTTGGCGCGTCTGGATTCTTAGTCACGGCCTCCAATGCAACCTCGGGCCGGCAGGACTTTCACATTGAGTCGGCCCTGGTGCGGCTCCAGTCTCAGCAGACGGAGCTGGCTACCGTCATCAACATTTCGCGGTACAGTGAAAGTTTGGCCAGCTTCCTCATCGATGCAAATATTCAACTGAGCGCAGCTCTGGGTTGGCAAGACCATGCATCCGTCATGAAGGCCGAGGACGGGGTTTTGCACATGCTTGTCTTGGCACAAAGTCAAGCAAAGACTTCTACGAGTGTGATACAGTCTCTCAAGGAACGGGTGCAAAGTCAGACAAATCTGGTGAGTTTCAATGCCTGATTAAAGGCAATGTCTACCCACTGACATTTTCGTAGATCTTTAGCTTGATATCGTCTGAAGAAAATAGAATCAGCCGTCGCGTGGCCGAGGAGAGCGCCAAGGTTGCCATCTCGAGCAAGCGGGATAGCATGGCCATGAAGACAGTGGCGGTCCTCACCATGATATTCTTGCCTGGGACATTTGTAGCAGTAGGTTCTGGTTCACCGGTGGAGAGCGTTCTCGGATTGACGTGGCAACCGTAGGCGTTTCTGAGCATGCCGCTTTTCGAGTGGAATGCCGACACTGGAGCATATCCTTCCTCTACTCCCTTTCAATGGGTATACTGGGCCATAACTCTACCGCTAACAATTTTACTCATGGCCGGCTGGCGGGCTTGGTGGGCGATTGAGGAGAAGTCGTGGCGATTGGAGCTCAAACAAGCCGAGGCGCAAAATCGACAGAGATTATCGGCGCGACCAAACACGGGGCGTACAAGCGCACTGGCGCCTAGGCTGTCTGATGTATCGGACATATCTATGGAATCGCGATTGGTACGATGGCAAGATCTGCGCCTGCGCAATCTCATAGCTCGAGGCCGTTGAGACGCGTCTCACCATATTTTCTTTTCTTTTAGCGTCTGTTTCAGCGAGCGACACTGCTATTTTTCTGGATAACAAGACGCGTCGCTAATAAAAGTATATTTGCTTTTTTCTTTTTAAATACATATTTTTTTTTCGGGTTTTTAGTCATTCCAGTGGAGGCAATTAGTTAAAGCTTAAAAACACTTATGCTAAATATGGGATAAAGGTAAATCAAGCCTGTGCGCGACGATAAGTGGGCACCGTTATGGACGGCAGAGTATATAAGACCAGCATACATTGGCAATACTTAAAATCTAAAGACTTGTCTCTGGTTTTGCGACACAGGGCCGCATATACCCAGCCTATACTCTAAGCATACCCACATTTTGTGAAAAGAGACAAACCTGCCAAAACATTGTTTCTTGTTCCGGCATCATGAGCGATCGGTCCGCAATCCATCTCGAGTATAATCTGTGGGTCAAGAGTATAGGCTAATCATGTACAGAATCTCTGAATCCGTAGTGGGAAACCCGCAAGTCAACCACTTTGGTAAGTCGTATATCTGGATCATCATGTATTTGCACAAACTCACTAACCCTCAGTCAATAATGCTGTTGAAAACGCCGGGGTCAAGAGCCTTCATGGTTGGCACTTTGGTTTGTTCACCGGCACCCGGCACCATCAAGCTCCTGACACTTATACGGTTAGGACCGATTCCGTATGCCAACGACGGCTGGATCCCCCCTCGTATGTCATATTAATACGTGAGATAAATGACTTGTTACCAATAGATAATAGGTCAAGTTGCCGCTGCCGAGGCAGGAACAGCTATTCCCATAGTTAGCAACAATGACAATGCAGGTGCGCATTCCAGGATCCGCGGATGAGGCCAATCCGTGACACTGATAACAATAGATGATACGCGTCCCCACGATGCCGAAGTCCTCTCACTACTCAACCCTGGTGTGTAAGTGAGCAAGTCTCTGATCAGATGGGGTTCATTTTGATTAATATCGGACCTAGCTGCTGCATTGATCTTGATGGTCGTGGTACAATGTGTGGTGTCACCTTCAAGAGCCAACCCTCTGTGTGTGCACATGTCGGAAGAGGATCTCCAAAGACACGGCTGATATCGTGTAGCTTCGACGTCATTATCGACAATTCCACCCCGGAGCCCGTATGTACACGGTCTCCTAGGACAACAGTATTGCTCATGCTAACACAATATAGTTGTCAGTGTTCGACGCGCCATGATCTCCGTCCCCGAGCGCCTTGCCGGCTTCAAGTAGGTTATGCCATGACACGGACAAAAGACACACGAAGCTCATGACTTATAGTGCGTTGAAGCATGTAGTCTTGAACAAGATTTGGCGCAACGCCTCGTTTCTCAAGGAGCCTGGGTCAGTCTGGATACTGTGTGTTGGACATGTCGCATGTGCTGAGACGATATATAGACGAGGTCCTCGCGGCGGAATAATTGACGAGTACGCTACCGCTCTCGAGTATCTTGCGTATGTAAGTCCCAGAATATGGCTGATACACTTTCGACTAATACCGCATAGCGCGACCGATGCCAAATTTGCCGCCAGATGGGGAACCCTTTTCCACCGCGAGGTGAGAGCTGCAGGAAGTGTTCTTTGGCACTTGATCGACTGACCATTTTCAGGGTGTGTTTCGCCTGAGACCAGCACGTGAAGAATATCAGGCCGACTTGCCAAGAGGTCAGCGACCAGCGTCCAGTATGCAGCCAGACACCCGGATCCACGACCCCTTGATCAAGCCTTCCGTGTCTACGGGATACGATTCTGGCTCGGATACACCCATCGTCACTCAAGCACGTCGAGTTAAACGCGGTGGCCGTACTCGGCACAGCCCCAGTCCAGTTGAATCTCCCGATCGACGTCAGAGTAAAGCGCAAAGACAACCAGCTGCTTCTGCCGGTCGCAAGCGTATTGTAAGTCTACCCTGGCGACAGTCATGAACAGGCGCAAGACAAGAGCTGATAATGAAACAGCGAACCAATTCCGCCGATGGTACGACTCCCTCGAGAGCGATCTTGCTAGATTCCAGTCCCTCGCGTTCAGAGCGTTCCTATCGGCCAATATTGAACACAGCCAATGCCCGGCACTGCACGAATACGATCACGGTTGGAGGGAATCAATCAAATTCGTCTCGAGCTGCCAGCGTCTCGAGTACTGAGCCAACGGATAGTGATGCATCATGGGCTCAAGGCTGATGGGTGTCCAAGGCTAGTAGGTTGATGTCACCAACACTTCTATATCTCCCCCAACAGTCAATGCCACAGGATCTCTTAGTTTCGTGGGGATCGAATAGAAGAATCAAGTCAGGGAACATGTCACAGTTGGGTTCATCAAGAACGAGTGCTTATTGTACGATCGAATTGCCACTGTATTGAAATATGAACTTTTCCTGTAGTGTACCTGATTCAGGCATGTTGAAAACTTCTGCGGCAACAAGGCCGAATACTCCCAAGGGAATGTTCAAGCTTTTTATGCGCCTGTCCTGCTCTCAAATTCATTGTTTGATCCCGCTCTCGACAATCTAATCAAGGTCAGTCCATGGTCTTCATTATGGGACTTGAGCGTTGTTCACCTTCCATCTTAGACTTCGTCTTGCTCATTGATATCATCATCGTGATGCTCGGCCTCGGTTGGGCCGGGGCAGGGGTGAAATTGGCGTGCTGCTTGCGTGGAGCCCCATTTGATGGGGACGCCATTGTAGTAAAAAGGAACATCCATGGCGATGCCCTCTTTAGCTGCTCTTGGTTGGGTCCTCCAAGAAGAAGAAGTTGCCGCTCAACTTTTGCTCTTGGTCCAGTTGAGAGTCCAGCTTGTTGATACGAGGACGGTAGTTTTGAGTGTCACGACGGAAAGTGACATCCAAGGCCTTCAAGAACTTGTTGCAACCAGTAAGGAGAGACTCGGGCTTGTTGGCGTGGGCGTCGATACCGGGCTGACCGTCAAAGACAATGACACGGTCGGCAAGGTACGTGGACATGATGAAATCGTGCTCGACAACAAAAGCCGTCTTCTTGGTGTTCATGATCCATCGCTTAATGACCTTGGAGGCCACGATACGCTGCTCAGAGTCCAGGTAGGCACTGGGCTCGTCAATGACGTAGACATCAGCAGGCTTTCCGAGAGCCAGGACAATGGCGACACGCTGAAGTTCACCACCGGACAAGTTCTTGACGTCCTGGTCAATGAAGCTGTCCAGTTGCAGAGGCTTGACGACCTCGGTCTGGAACTGGGGAAGGAGGAAGGCGGTGCGGATCTTCTTGAAGAAGAGCTGGCGGACGGTTCCCTCAAACTTGGGGTTGATGGTCTGCGGCTTCATGGAGATGGACATTTCGGGCATCTTGGCGGCACCGTCGGGCTTGAGCGCACCTGCCAACATCTTACAGAAGGTGGTCTTTCCAGTACCGTTCTCACCAAACATGACAATGATTTCAGAGTCAGTAAAGTCACCAGCGTCAATCTTGAGGTGGAAGTCGCCCTGGGTCTTTTCCATGGTGGGGTACTTGAAGGCGCGCGACTTTTCGTTCAGGTACTCGTCTGCGCTTTCGGCCATCTTGAAGGTCAGGGACTCTTCACGGAAACGCAAGTTCTCAGTGGGAATGTAACCGTCGAGGAAGATGTTGATACCTTCACGGACAGAGTAGGGAAGGGTAACGACACCGTAGACACCGGGCTTTCCGTACAAGACGCACACGAAATCACTAATGTAGTCAAGAACACTCAAATCGTGCTCAACAACAATAATGTAGTTGTCGTCCCGGATGAGAGATCGGATCATGGTAGCAGCCTTTAGTCTTTGCTTGATATCAAGGAAAGAACTAGGCTCGTCAAAGAGGTAAATGTCCTTTTGCTGAACACAAACGAGACCAAGAGCAAAACGTTGCAACTCACCACCAGACAGGTGGGAAATGTCACGGTCGTAAATGTGTCTCAGCTCCAAAACGTCGAGGACGGCATCGAGGTTGCCCATGCTGGCATCGGCCTGCTTGGCAAAGATGGCGCGGACGCTGCGCTCGGTACCACGGAAGGCCTTGGGGATCTGGTCGACATATTGGGGCTTGACGACGGCGTGAAGATCATCCTCGAGCAGCTTGGTAAAGTAGCTCTGCAATTCAGAACCACGGAAGTAGCGGATGACATCAGCCCAGTCGGGGGCATCTTCGCCCAATCGGCCCAAGTTGGGCTTGAGCTTACCGGCGAGGACCTTGAGCGCGGTACTCTTTCCGATACCGTTGGTTCCTACGAGACCAAGGACTTGACCGGGACGGGGAGTGGGCAGACTTTTGACTATGTCAGACAAGGTCTCGATCTGGGGACAAGAAAGGATCATGTAGCTTACCGGTGAAGCTTGAAGGTGTTGGGACCGTATCGGTGGGTGACCATGGAATCCAGGTTGGTCGGCAAGTTGATAATGTTAATGGCACCAAAGGGGCACTTTTTGGGGCAGATACCGCAACCAACACATCTGGAGGTATCACGTATTAGCGACCCATATATCTTGTCATGTACGGCAGGGTGGACCAGAGGCCAGACATGGAAAGAGACAACTTACAGCGACTCGGAAATGAAAGCAAGAGAAGAAGCCGGAGAGACCTCAATACACAGCTTTCCACTGCGGACGACGGGACAGGACTTGCGACATTCCTGCTTGCACTTCTTGGGCTTGCACTTGTCACTGCTGACAATGGCGACACTATGGGCAAGTGGTTAGTTGGCATTTGCGCACTTTATTTCCTTGGGTATTTCCTTGTCGGGTTCGTACCGAGTGAGTTTGTCGGCCATGGTGAATGGTGGCGATGATGGGGTATGGCTCGAATCGAAGAGGGTCGTGAGTTTGGTCGGTCGCTATCACCAAATTGTGTATGTCCTCTTGGCTGGGAATGTCCCGGAGACTGATCGAGCGATGCTAGAAAATTTTCGAGCAAAGTCGAAGGGGGAGAGACGTCGTCGCAGATCAACTGGCAGTTTCGGGGAACGACGATCAGTGGTTTGGTTCAGGCCACGAGCTGCTAAAACTGGTGCTTGACCCCTCCATCTCGAGCCCCGCTCCATTCACCTTTCTGCCCAGTTTCTAGAGCCCTAGCACTAGGTTTGGGCGCACTGAAAATTCGGATTCCCACATTTAGTGCAGGGCGCAGGCTAAGCGATGAATAATAGACCCTAAATGATTCGTCAAGCCACACTTGAGCCACATTTTGACGTAGTTCCCCTGCATGCTTGGAGAGCATAATTCCATGACGATGCATATCATAGAGGTCAGAACTCAGCATGCATACTTGCATAAAAAGCAGCCTTTTAAGAGAGAGTCTGCACAAACATCAATTACTTCTTGCTGTGCCGTCGTTTGACCGCTCAGTAATCACTTGCAGTCATGAGAATATGGAGGTGAGTTACGAGTGACCAACCCCTTCGAAAGATCCAATATTTCTCTCAATAGCCAACGAAATCAACCCCGCTACCAATTACACATCAAGCAAAGTCCAGCGGAGCGCCAAAGATCAGCCACTAGCACTAGCACCTTCATATCCTAGCCACCTACGTGGTATAACAGCGTCTATACCCCTCATATATTCACCAGCAAACCAATCATGTGTTGTGATATTTAATCTCTATACTTGATGGGTTGATTCGTACCTTGATTTGTTCCTTCAACTCGTCCCGCTTGCTCAAGTGTCCAGCTTCACAAGCCTGCTCACAATTGGAACCACGAGCCGGGAAAATCATCACGAAAGAATGGCAAATACACAGATCCAATTCGACTCATGGTGCTCATCGTTCACAGCTATCCAACTAATGTGCTAGCCTTCATATCCTTACGCGGACCTATGCTTGGAGCCGCTGCCAAAGCGTCTTTATCCAGAAGCAAAGGAAACCTGGACATATAGAGGCGGCTGACATGACCGCCGATGAATTAATGCATTTCATTTACAGACTTTACAAGAGTACAAGTCCAACTTGCTCGTACATCCAGGGTCCTGTGCTATTCTTGGGTCTCGAAGATGTGCTTTCTCTCCGCAAAATGGGATACTGACCGATTTGCCCTCCACAAATGCTCTCCCTAGAGAATTTTGCAGGCAAATTGGGAGATTTCCGAAAGCTGTATTACATTAATTGGGTTGATACCCAAAAGATCCTGTGTCCAGGCCTTGCAAGGTCGCCAACATAGGGTCACCTGGCTATGTTTCCTGTTCGGCATCATTATCTGCTGTTATTTGGAAGCGTTCTTTCGTGAGAGCAACAGAATGTGCATTGGTTCAATCGTCAATGTGCAGTCATCGTTATCCCATCTAGTATCTCGTCACATCATTCACAAGGGTGCAAAAAATGTTTAAGTTTTCTGTCTTCTTCTTTTCTTACACGCCCTTCTCCAAAGGACACCCTGTGCTTGGCAGTAACACTATCAAATGCAATGCGAGTTCTAGCTGGATTTTATAGGAATCAACGTAGCCTCAATCCAGTCTGATTATCCGTTTTGCTTTGCCACTCAACCTGTAGCCAGGCCTCAAAAACAACCGCTCATATTTCATTCCCTCATTCCCTCAGTGGCACAATTATGACACCTTGAGAGCCGCCTTCTCCTTAAATGCAATGCAGTACTTCCCCGAGTATGGAAGTCTACCGAGGCGGTGATATCAAGCCGTTTCCTCTCTTGCATCAGTCCGTGTCCGAGTCTGACTCTTCGTTGAACTACAGGGCCTCATCATCGTGAACCACATTGGCCATTGCATTCGAAAACATGCTTTCAAATTCGAATGCATTGAGACCCTCGGCTGTTGAATACATGGACTGAAGTATTGCCAATGGTATAGAGTCGTACTCTCCACTCCTCTCCAGAGTGTTGTCTGTTTGGGTCCCTATTGCAGTTTTTGTGGTGCAATTCTCATGAAGAGATGTGTGATCTTGCCATAGCGTGTTTTGAAAGTCTACAACGAGCTCCTGAGCCGTCTCGGTGATATCTTCTGCATTGGGCAGCGGCCATAGGAAATTCACGGTCAAGTTTCGAATCATGTGGCCCAATGTGTGCGCCTGGCAATTTAGTCGATCCTCTCTCACAGGCTGATTGCAAAGATACAGACCAGTGGGATCAGCATCGTTCATTAGAGCATTGATCGCATTGCGAGTTGGCGTTAAGATGCTGTTTATGTCGTTCAACCGACCGAGGCGAATGTGGTCTAAGAGAGATATGATGTCAGTCTGGCTCCAGTACCCAAATCTATTGCTCTGAGTCTTACCTGCAACGCCGTCGGGCTCAAGAACATGGCGAAATAGGTGATGGTTGGGCTCAAGATGCCAGGTCAAGTAACGGAACATAGTCTGGTACAGTTCCAGATGGCCGAATTCGCTAGCAATCCACATCGACTTCTCAAGCCGCTCATAAAAAATGGATGTGTCCCTGGATTCCTCTTCTGCCTCCCAGGACATCAGCAAATTACACCATTGTGCCATGAATGGTCGGAAATGTTGTGTCATTAGGTATTTATTCGCAAGAACGACCAATGAGTACACATCATCCACAAATTTGCCCTCAGGACAGTCTTCGCGACGTTCTTTGTCAATGTCCGCATAGATTTCTTTGAGACTCCCATGTGCACGATGGAGCAGCATCTGCATGGCCTTGGGATCATCTTCAGTGAGTTCGATAGTTGTCTGGGTAGCCTCGCGGAAATTGCCAAAAAGCATTGCCTCCATGACTGGAGACGACCGTGCCAGAGACCTAGAGCAAACGCGAAAGGCCATTGCTTCCGTGTGTTGATGATCTCCATTGGCCTTGATCTTGCACTTGTGCTTGCCGACAAGCAAGATCAGATCACCGCGCTTGTCAATGTCAATGGTGGCGACAGAGGGCTGGTACAGAAATGCGCATCGCGAGGGTTCGACCTCCATCGACATGTCTAATTCGTCATTGGATGCCATGATGATGTCGTAGATGCTGGTGTGGAAGGATTTGCGAGGTCGTTGAAGAAGAGTCAAAGAATGTGAAGTGGTTGTGATGAGGGATACCGGTAATGCAAGTGCAGTGGCATTTGCTAGGCAGCTGCACTGGCTCGATCTTCTTCGCCTTTGGATAGGTAAGTAATTGAAACCGGCTGCTGCCTCGAGAAGGCAAGAAAAGGCGTCGATCGAGAGGAGGAAAACAATCCCAGGCTTGACTTGGATAGTTGCAAGTGGAAGGCTGTCATTTGCTGAGACGCAAAGACTGACGAACCAGAGGCAAGTACGCAAACGCCAGCGCGTGACTTCCTGTTTCAGTCGAGAAAGTTCGTTTGCTTAGTAGTCTATCACATTGAATTTTGCTTGCTGTAGATAGTGCACATTCCGTTACGATGGTCAAGCAACCGCAGCACTTGACAAAACAAACTTGTGTGAACCCGAGCAAGGTAGAATCATTCGCCTTGAGATAGGACAGATGAAATACAAATTGTCTGTTTCTATACTGTTTGCATCTACCAAAACTAAGTATACAGCAAAGCATAGATTTCACTTCACTACGGCCGACTTCTGCTTTTTGCTCTCGGCAGTTTCCTTCCAACACTTTCGAAACCAAGTCAACAGCCCCCAACGTCATGTGGTGCTTGACACTGATGCTTTGATATTCAACTTTTAGATCACTCTCATTGTGAAAATTCTGAAAAATAAGCGTCTTTTTCTTTTCTGGGTAGAATATGCAGTATGGCTATAATATGTCATGTTCGCAGCAAACAATTAGAGTCGCAATGCTGGTGCTGCAGTCGATGGCAATGAAGCATTGAGCAACCTCATCTGCACCAAAGGGCGAGTCTACTTTCAGGCCAACGTTACAAACTTTGAATTTTTTTTCTTCTTTAAATAGCTATCCAATCGTGAGAAATTTAATAGACTTGCACAATATGTGAGTTCGTTATTCTGGAAAAACAATGTACCATCAGACACTGCCTTTCTACCGTACTATGGTAGTGGATGCCTTGATGAATTGTCGGAGCTAAATTTCCCCTGTACCATGATTGAACAGCTGGTGACAGTGGTTCGCCCAGCGCTTATCAGTGGGCTAGCTGAACCCAAAGATCCCCTGGCTCAACAATGATCAGCACATGGTAGCAACAGCGACACTTTTTGCTGAGTTCCGTCCATTTACCTCCAGAAACAAGCATGGAAGCTGGGCGAGCGGCTGAGCGCGTAGCTTTTGCTTGCGAAGCTTGTCGCAAGCGGAAGCGCAAGGTAATGGCACTGCCATTCTTATCGCTGGACCCAAGCTAATGTGGGTGACGACAAGTGCGACGGCATCACTCCCAGTTGTTCTTGGTGCCTACAAAAGAGTATCGCGTGCCATTATGTCCTTCAAAGACCTAAAAAGTGTGCATCATTCTTGCATTTACGCATGGTAAAATTACTGACTTGTAATACCACAGACCAAAGCTCGACTACAATTACGTGAATGGCTTGGAGACTCAGATTGAGCTGTTAAAGGAAGAAGTCTATCGCCTAAAGGGATTGTGCCAGTCCGTACCGCAATCGCAGGGCATGCCTGATACATCGGACAATTCATTGCAAGATGGCAACCCTCGCACATCAAAAGACGACTCAGCAATCAATGACGTGAGCTCTCTCATGTGGCGACTCAAGATTGGGGATAACGGCGAGAGCACCCTCATCGGTCCTTCGGGGAATCACTGCTTCTCGAACACGATTGACGATTCCACTCAAACCAATGGTCATGCCACACAAGAAGTGATTTTGAATCAACGCCACGAGATGGATCACACCAGATTGATATTACTGTTCTCCAAGTACATCAACCCAACTTTTCAATTCCTTGATCAGGAGACGTTGGCAAGCCTCACAAACCACGCGTCGCAGGAGCCCAATTTTCTCGCATGTTCAGTGCTAGCTGCTGGAAGTCTCTACGCCGAAGAAGTGGAAATCAGAAGCTACGGCAATCATCTTGCATCTAGAATAGAAGCCAAGAGCTTAGAGACTTGTCGACAGTCCCCTAATCTGGCCACCATCCAATCTCTGGCAATCATGTGTTGGCGGGAACTGGCCCTCGGCAATGAAAACATGGCATGGATGTACAATTGTAAGTACACTCTCAGACCAAACCTCTCGCTTCATCACTAAGCAAGGTATGGCAGCCATGGCGTGCAGTCTGTCAATACATTTAGGACTCACTGTCATTTCTCTTCAAGAGCTTCGGCGCGGCGAAATCCAGGGCAATCATACCCCAGAAATGCCCAAAGACCTACGACAAAGGACAAGGACAATTTGGAGCGTCCTTCTTCTTGATAGAGTCGCTACATCACTGCTAGGACGACACTGCATCATTCCATGGCGTCGGATAAAGGCGCCATATCTCGTCGAGGTTCTGGGAGCCGCAGCCACAACAGATGAATTGGCGTTTGATTTTCAGTGCAAGCTGTGGTATTTGCATGACAAACACATGGATAGAATGTGGGTATTGTATCACTTTGACAGAAACAAATTACTGACTTGCAAAGCTACTCGTACGAGTTCAAGGATCTTGACAAGACTGAACGCTATCGACTGCTCGTCGAAGCGCGCGATGAGCTTCTCTCTTTTCGAACGCAACTGAAAGCTCAATTCGACCAAAAAGAAGAAAGCGAAACACCAACAATCATCTTTTGTCATATGGCATACCACATGTCACAACTGTTGATACATCGGCCGTACCTAAATGGCCCGATCCACGATCATACTCGCCAAATTGTCGACCGAACCACCACACTCGAAGCAGGAAGTATGGTGGATCTAATCCGGAGATATCAAAAGGTTGGCTCTTTTGATAAAGTGCCGCCATTTGTGGTTCACAGTATACAAACGGCTGCCATAACACTTCTTCTGAATGCGACATCAGAAGAGTCTTCCATGCGAAGCCCCTCCATCCACAGATTGCGTACATGTGTGGACGCTTTGGAGTCAATGGGTTCAAGGTGGCTCAGCGCAAAACGTGCCATTACTACCCTGAGGGAGTTGGCTGAGCGATGGAAGATTTCCAGGGCGCTACCAATGCGCTACAGTGGCCCTTTGCACCAAGCTGATGTGGCGAGAGCCATTGACAGCGCAGCCATTTCAAGGGTTGGCGATCCCGGCCACCAAACTGGTTTTGGCGGTTCAACGGCGCCAGCGACACTGGCGATTGATTACTTTGACGTTGCAGACTTGAACATGGCAGAGTCCGGTCTATTTGGATCTCCGTACCTGGCCTTTTCGTCAACAGAAGATTAACAAGAACAATGCACAACTCTTGCTGAATCAACTAGCTGCGCCGGTCAATGGAGAGTATCGCTTCGTATCTATTTCAACTTCAATACTACTACAGAAAATCTTACTAGGATATGAGAGACAGTGGTATATCAGCATCTACAATGCCATCTTCACACGCAGCCTCTTCCCATACAAATAGAGAGGAATGGTCAACAGTGTTACACCTGCAGTCAGACTACCCCAAGTCACAAAGAATGCCAAAGCACCATGGACGATGTAGTAGTCGTTGAGTATAAAGGTAAGACCAAACGCAAAAACACTCTTGACCAGCTAAATTCGTTGTACATCAGTGAAGCTCAATTGATACAGGTTGAAATAAGCTTACCATGGCCACACCAAAAGCCTCGGCGGTCTTTTCTTCGCATGCATCATTGGTATACGCCACGATGCTGGTGCAGTTCATACCAACACCGAAATTCAAACAGCCCAGTAATACAGCGGATGCCCACACGGACAAACCACGGTCGAGGACGATTCCCAAACCATAGGATCCGATGGCGGTGGTAATCATGCCGGGAATTAGCACGGGAAGCCGAAACTCTGGTTCATAGATGCCACCATTGCGGAAAGCCATCATCCGAGCTAGCAGGTCACAGAGATACCCGCCAAGAATGGTACCAAAGGCGGACCCGATCAATGGGGGCACGCCAATCAACAATCCCACAGACGTTGCAGACAGGTTGTAGGGCTCGGCCTCAAAGATTTGATCTGCGACTGCGCCTTGTATAATGGTCCAGCTGAAAGTCACGGACCACATTGCGCACGCCCAAATGATGATTGGATGTCTCAAGAGTCTGAGAGGTGCCACAAGAATGAAAAGTTGATGCACCAAGCCATTGCAAGCAGACTTTGGTGGTCGGAGAAATGGTTGCTGTGTCAGCAAGTTTCTCTCCAGGATCTTTTGGTTGGCCCCATCCTTGCGAGGCGACTCGACATCTTGACCATCTGTAGGGTGGGCTTGCACCATCCCAACCTCCGTGTCGAGCTTTCGGAGCGCTATACTTGATGCATCTGGACGACTCATCTCGTGATCATCAACTACATTATTGTTGGGCAATGTCTCGGGCACAAAGAAGACAACAAGGATGAACGCCAAAGCAAACGCTATTGCCAGAATCTTGAACGACCATTGCCAGCCAAGGGCAGTAATGATGTAGCTGCTAATGACGGGCGCGACATTGACAGAGACAATGACGGCAAAGTTCCAAATCCCAGCACGTCGGCCACGCTCATTGACGGGAAAGAGGTCGTTGATGGAGACGGTGCCCGCAAGGGAAAAGAAGCCCCCCATCCCGAGCCCTTGAAATGTGCGGGATGCCAGCAGCGAACCGTAAGTCTTGGCGAAACCACCCCAGACACAGCTAAACACCAACATGAGGCTAGTAACAAGATAAGCGATGCGCCGACCGTATATCTCCGCCAGAGGCGCGCAAATGTATGCGCTTACACCAAGCGCCATGATCAATGCCCCATTGAGCAAGGTTACTTGCGTGAGCCCTACGTTGAGGGAGGCTGCGACGAGGCTGAATCCGGGCACGAGGACAGGGCCGACAACACCAGTAACACTGGCTCCGTAGATGAGGGCCACAAAGTAAAGCTCTTTTCGAAGTCGTGACATATGTAGGGGGTTCTCGGTCGAGGGAGCTTCCTTGATCATGTTTCGTAAAGGATTTGGCGACGGAGTCTCTGCGAGCGAGACACTGTCCAGCGCTGGCACAGAGCTCTGATCAACCTGCGTGATTCCAAAGGTCATTTTCGTAATTAATTGCGATAATGCGTTTCTCAAGAATTTGTACAACTCAATCTCTGGCTCTGGCCATTTGGTTCCCGGACTGCCTAGGAGGCCATGGCAAGCTCTTATGCAAGTCACAGCGTGCGATAAGAGCCTAGAAATTATCCCTCATATCCAATTGATCACATCCAGTCACTCGAAGTAGCTTTCAGTCGAGATCATGCCAGGAGATTGGGGTTATCTTTGAGACTATAGTACGACGCCGCGATATTGGCACATTGCACTGAGCCATGATTGGCTGGAATGCTTTCATTAGCGGCGGAACCAAACGAACCGCCATGATAGACAGGGATTGAGGCACGGCTTTGATAACATGATGAAAGCCGACCTCTACTACCGATTGCTTCCATTATTGCTTTATTGACATTACGAAACGTAATCTTTCAGTTGAAGTATCTTCAAGTCTCACAGTGATTATATCCTGCATCATCCCCGGTCATCTCGAATCACTAATTACCCTCCCCCCAACACTAATCCGGTCCTCTTGTATATAGGCTTACGTTCATCATCGTTATTGCATACCTACCTCTTTGGCCGCAGCGCAGTCGCAAAGAGACTATGGAAGGGTCAACCAAGACGTCAGTCCACGTCGCCGTGACGCAGGCAGAGCCTGTATGGCTCGACCTAGATGCCACGGTCGAAAAAACATGTGTTCTCATAAACGAAGCGGCGAAAAATGGTGCCGAACTCATTGCGTTTCCCGAATGTTGGATTCCTGGATATCCAGCTTGGATATGGTAAGGATACTATGCCCTTCTTGTCCGTCATCAGCATAGCTAATGTGTCTCCATGTGTACTAGGTCACGTCCCGTCGACCCTGAACTCGGCTCGCTGTATATACGCAATTCCCTCCAAATCGACTCTCCTCAGATGCGCCAGATACAAGAATGCGCAGCCCAAAACAAGATTGTAGTCGTCCTAGGATTTTCCGAAAACCGGCACCACTCGCTCTACATTTCCCAAGCCATAATCGATGCCGACGGCAAGATCTTGGTCAAGAGGTCCAAGATCAAAGCCACGCACATGGAGCGGACGATTTTCGGAGACGCCTTGACCGAGTGTCTCGACGGCGTCGCTGATACGCGGGCCGGTCGTGTCGGCGCGTTGTCGTGCTGGGAACATGCGCAGCCTTTGCTCAAGTATCACATGTACGCCCAGAGAGAGCAAATACATATTGCGGCGTGGCCGCCTCTGTACCCGGCTGATGGAGACCAGGGACAGTGGTCCATGACCAGTGAAGGTGGGACTGTCTATCCGATACACCTGCTCTTATTGAAAATGATTACTAATGTTAAGTTCTGTATTGAAAAGGTGCACAATCCCTCGCTAGAACTTATGCTCTCGAATCACAGGCCTTTGTCCTCCATTCTACCGCCGTCATTAGCCTAGCCGGAGTGGATCGCATGAAGACGCAGACGGGAATCGCCATGAGCGCCCCCGGTGGAGGCTCCTCTGCCGTTTTCGCGCCCGACGGCCGCAAGATATCAACAGATTTACCCGAGACAGAGGAAGGTTTGGTGTATTGCACCCTGGATCTGAATCTCATTGTCGAGTCGAGAGCATTTCTAGATGTTTGCGGTCATTATAGTAGGCCCGACTTGTTGTGGCTTGGAGTGGATAAGAATGAGAAAGCCCGAGTGAGGGAAGTGAATGGTCTGGCTCTTGGGCGCGGGGATAGTGAATAAGGATGTGGTGTATTACGAAATGGTCTTTGATTACATGACATCTGCGCAGCGGTGTCTTGGAAGTCTCAGGTATTTTAAGAACTATAAGAGAGATGTGCTACAGAACTATCTATTAGACCCAAGCAAGTAACATGTGGTGAGTATCATTAAATCAGTGCTACACCAATCACCAATAGAAAAGAGATTGACACATGCTACTTCCTTGCCCAAATTGCCTGAGCGTTGCACCATCCCTTGATTCCATCCAATCCAGATTCGACACCAATGCCACTTTCCTTATGGCCTCCAAATCCGACTTGGGGTCCAACCTCGAAATGAGCATTCACCCAGACGGTGCCAGCTTCGAGACGCCGCGCCGTGTTCTCGGCCTGCTTGAGATTGGTGCTCCACACTGAGCCACCGAGACCCATCAGGGACGAGTTTGCGCGGCGCACTACATCTTCCTCATCAGACCACTTTAGAAGCGGTACAATCGGGCCAAACTGCTCTTCAACAACGAGGCGCGAATCATCGGGAGGGTTCTCGATAACAGTGGCCGGAAGGAAGAGGCCATCCTTTGTCTCGGATGAGTCCAGCTCAGCACGATAAGCGACCTTCAAACCTTGCTTTGTGATATCGCTATACAAGTCCAACAGCTTTGCGTGTTGCATGCTGTTCTGGACAGGGCCAAGTGCGGCCTGAGCATCTGCAGAGCCACCGGTCTTGAGAGTCTTTACAAAATCGACAAAGGCGGCCAGGAAGGCATCATATATGTCTTCGTGCACATAAACACGCTTAATGCAAAAGCAGACCTGGCCGGTATGCAATAATGATAGAGTAGCGATCTGAACAAGAGTGACATATTAGCCGGGTTACATTTACTTGATCATGGAGACGTACCTTGGGGACTGTCGCTGCAATATCGACGTCTGGGTATACGATGGCCACATCATTGCCACCGAGCTCAAGGGTGAAGCGCTTCAATGTCGGCGCACACGCCGCCGCCACTTTTTTGCCGGTGGCTACTGATCCAGTAAAGCTGATTTTGGCAACACCGGGGTGACCTGTAAGCATTGGACCAAGGTCCTCTTCGCCGCTGAGTACGTTGAAAACTCCCTTGGGGAAGATTTTGGCGCCCAACTCTCCCAGTTTGAGGGCTGTATAGGGGCTGTACGGAGAAGGCTTCCAGATAAAAGTGTTTCCAGCCAACAGTGCCGAGACGAGCTTGACGATTCCTAGCAGCATTGGAAAGTTCCAAGGAACGATGCCGACGCCCACACCCAAGGGAACGTGGCGAAGCACAATTTTCCGCTAGAGTTTGTAACAATCAGCTGCGGCTCAACACAAGAGGATGCAATGACCAAGAAGAAAGAATCAAAGTGAGTTGTATAACAGACGCACCTCATCGGTATCCTCAATCACTTCTTCGGTCAACCGATACTTGATGACTTCACGGATCTGATGGGACAGCAGGAATAGTTCAATTCCAACGGCCTGTGGAGGCTTGCCAGCTTCTTTGCCGAGGAGCTGCGCGAATTCCTGCTGGTTGGCCTCGATAGCCTCGACAAACTTGAGCAGGAGACCAGCTCGGTCGTCTTGAGTGAGATCACGCCATGCTGGGAAGGCTGCTTGGGCAGCGGCCACGGCGCGGTCAACGTCGTCCTGTGTTGAGACGGGCACCTCGGCAAGCTGCTGCTTATCGCTAGGGTTGACCGCTCGACGAGTCTTTTCTGTGGCTGAGAGTTCGTTCCCAATCACATTGTGGAATGTCTGAGTTCAATGTATTAGAGATGAAAAGCGCAACAAGGCTGCACCAAAAAAAGGATGACTTACCTCAAAGTCGGCGAGCTTGTAATCCGCCATATTTACACGCCACTAATGATTTGATCAAATCGAAAATGATTGGGATTTTCAAAAGTAGCCAAAAGCTTTCTAGACAAATGCTCAAGCAAGAATGAAAAATGAGTAAAGTGAGTAGCGATTAATAAAATTGACAACTTTTTTCGCATCTGGGCATTGAGGTTCTAATCCTTTCCACAGCGCGCCATCACCACAACTGGCTGTAGATGCACATGTAGGGAGGTGACTATTTAGGTTTAGTAACGCAAGGGATCAAGTACAGCGACTTGGGGTGAGGCACACTGGAGTACCGCTCCTTCATGTCGAGTTTGCATCTTGATTGTTATTGGTCGGATTGTGCGTCTCAATGTCCAGTATCTTTACCAACAGCATTCACAAAGTACCCTGCCTGCAGAAGGACTGCATGGTTGCAACCTCACACGGATGAACTTGCACATTGAGCACCTACAGTGCATATCCCCACATCCGAACCCTTGCTGCTAACAGCGGTGGGTCTTCCGCCTCGCCTACTAGGTTAGGTACATGGTATGTTTTTCGTCCTGATACCACATCGTCCTACACTGAAAGGAAAGGCTGTGGGATCAGCTGAAGTCCAATAGGATGCAACGGCAGCATGCAACGAGCGATCCTGGCAATGCTGACTGCAGCCCGTCACATAACGACGTGATTTTTTTGTTACCAAAACCCATCCAAAGTTGCAGCGTAAAAATAGACGAGAGTGTAGGGCTAATTTACTGCCTGCAACTGCTGCTGCAGGCGACGGCCAGATTCAATCATCCGGCCATGCCAGGTAGGTAGGTAATGTAAGGTACCTAGTAATCACAAGTCTGCAATCTTGACGCAGCAAAACTCTGTACTCTGTAGTTGATGAGGGTTGCCCGCGATCCTTGGACATTGCCGTCTTCCTCGTGGACAAAGGCAACTCAAAACCCTCTTTATTTACAACTGATTACCTACACAGTGAGACGCTGTCATTTCTTCCGTCTTCTTGGCATATACAAAGACTACAAACACGGGAATTCCATCTACTTTGGCCATTTCCAACCTCGAATCATGGCCGCCTCCACCCCAGATTACCCACCGGAATACGTGAACCACGATGATGGTCCTCGCGTCGTACGCGTCATGACGGCCGTTATCACGCTGGCAACCATCTTCGTGGCACTTCGTTTCGCCGTACGCTTGAGACTTCGAGTCCGCTTTGCGCTCGACGACTGGGTCGGCTTGGCCTCTCTCCTCGTTGTTTGGGCGGAGTATGTCGACGGCTATCTCTGCATCAAATACGGCGGCGTCGGGCTTCATCTACCTATTGCTCTGCAGCGTAAACCGGATGCCTTGAGATACACTTTCATTGTAGGTTGGCCAGGACCTCATCGCCTACCCAAAGTCAAAGCTGACAAGCACATAGTACATGTTTGCAGGCGAACTTCTCTTCTTCACCGGTCTCGCACTCATCAAGTGGAGTATACTCGCCATGTACTACCGCATTTTCCCGACGCTATTCATGAAATGGGGATACGCCGTTCTCGGCTCCATGACTGCTGCTTGGTGGGTCGCCGTCATGCTCACGACCGTTTTCCAATGCACGCCCGTTCACAAGTACTGGGATCTCGCCACCCCAGGGACCTGTATAAACGCAAACACCTTTTACATCAGCACGAATGGAGTGCCCAACATTGTGATGGATGCCATGATCCTGTGTCTGCCAATGCGCGAGGTCTACAAGCTCCACGTGTCGCGTAAACTCAAGCTGGCTATTGGAGCGAATTTCTTGATCGGCTCCCTCGTCATCATAGCTAGTATCATTAAGCTGTGCGTAATGATACAGCTATATCGAATGGGATCCGATGCCGATGTCACCTGTACGTATCTCGAGCAAGTGTCGTGTGCTTTTACTGAGGCTAATTGTGAATTCGAATCACAGACTACCTAGCGGATTTGATCATCTGGGTCGAGGTCGAGCCCTGCATGGGCATCATCTCAGCCACCCTTCCTACTCTTCGCCCGCTGCTCACATTCTTGCTGCATCAAGTAGGGCTCAGTCAGAACTTGTCTGATCGCGCTTCTACGCCTGGCAGGCCATCACTCATCACGTTTGGTCGTGGCAACATGCAGAAGAAGAAGAATGGTTACAACACTACCGCAAGCATCGACAACGATCACGATTCCCTCGAAGGCTTGAGCGGCTGGCCCGAGGAGCATCACCGCACGGCAACTGCCGCGCCTGGTGACAACAAAGGAGGGGCAATAAACCTTACTAAATATACGCCTGGCTCACAGCAGCACATTAATGTCAGAACTGAGATGGCATGGACCGAGTCAAATCGGTATTGATGCGGTATTATGAACCAGGTGTAGTCTACGGCATAGTACAGCATAATGGAGGGCCGAGAGAAAACTATTGTACAAATGGCATACAATGTGAATACCAACGCAAATATGGAATCAGAGTGGGAAAGCAAAAAGCTATTTTCTGCTTGTTCAGACATGAAACTCGAAAATATTTTCGCTATTTAGGGCAGATACAAAGAAACGTTACTCAAACCAAGGTATCTACTTCTCAAGTTGACGCTTCCGCCAACGAAAGCAGAGATCCCGATCCGGAAACATTGCAATACTACCAGCGTACCTTTTGTCATCTACGGCTGGCCGATCTGTCTCTGAGCCATCTAGATTTGTCCATTTCACAAACTCCAGATCGAATCTGATCACAATCAGGGCCAGAGCTAGCATGATCTCCATCTTTCCGAAATGGCGCCCAGGGCATACCCAGTAGCCGCCCCCTTGGACATCGTCAGCGTTTTGGAGGCGAAAAGATAAGTAGAGAAGAAGGGAAGGAGGCAACGGAAGATGAAGAAGAAAAAGGCCAGAACAAAGCTTACCGTATGGGAAGAATGATGTTGGCCTTGCGCGCATGACGAAGCGCGACCGAGAAGCCATACGGCCCGTCAGGTCGTCGTATGCCTCCTCGGTTTGAACATGCCGCCAGGCCCAGAACTCACTCGCGGGGTGTTGGTCAACCCCCCAGACCTCCTCATCCAAGTGGGCTACAGTGGAGCATGTCTGAATAATGGCGCCAGTGTCTGCCCAACACCCAGGCACGATCTCAAAGGGGCCGTCGCGCACTTCGCGTGACACATTGAAGGAAACATGCAGGCGCATGGTCTCGATATATATCGACTGAAGTAGCGCCAAGTTCATGACACGTTGAGCGTCCAACTCGCCAGTCTCGGCATTCAGTCCCCCTTCGAGAATCTCGGATCGTACGGCAGCCAGGAGCGATGGGTCTTTGATGAGCTCCATCAAAGCCCAAGCCGTGATTGGTACCGTGTTTCCGTTGAGGCTGGGAAATTTTGACACCATTAGTGACACAATTCATCTCAAAAGTCTGCAGATGGGCGAGAGATACTGACCCAAATAGAGATGCCAAAGTATGCCCGGCAGCGGCATGATCTGAAAAGCCTTGTGCGCGCATCCACATGGCGCTCTCCCGAGACAGGCGCGAGCCGAAATGCGGCTCCCAGAGGCACTCGGCATCCACGTCGCCGGCACTCTGACTCGCCCAAGCCGAATCAATGTGGCGCCGCACCATGGCGTGGAGGCGACGCTTGGCACGGGCCGCTTCTGGCATCAAGAAGGAGGGCAACCCTAGGAGCAGTTTTCCCGCCACTTCATCATATTGCCAGTAGCATTCCGTGAAGCCGGGGTTCAAGTCAAAGAGACGTGTACCAAACAGCGTCTCGGCTGCACACCTCGACATTTGTGTCTTTAGGGTGCCTAGTAGGCGCGCCGTGGTCCATTCCGACGCAGTGTCCTCCTGCCATTGGTCAAGTTGCGCCGTAAAACGACGCAAAAAATCCGAACCCAGGGCTTCCGAGTACCGCGGATCGCTGAGAAAGTCCGTGTAGAGCCGGCTGTGGCTTCTCCAATACCGCTGGTCCTCGGTCACGGGTCCACTTCCCGGGATCGGTTTCGGTAATCTACCGGATCGATCTTTTTTGAACTTTGACAACTCGGTTGCACTCATGCCCCATTGCATTGACATGAGCAGAAAATGAATAAAGTTGCCATCAAGAACGTCTGGCGACCCAAACAGCCTCTGCACATTACGTGGTCCGGCGACAAAGAAGAGCGGGCGAAATCCAATGTAGCACTTGATGACATGACTTCCTGTTTTCTTGAATGTTTTTCTTGGAGTACCGATGTTAGATGTTGTTTACTATGTAAAGCAGTAGAGACTTGATTCTTACTGCACTAGGTCTAGGAAAGCAGCCTGGTCCGTCATGAAGAGAAGTATATTGGAGACATAGGGTATCGTCTCTTGCATGCGCGGAGGCTCATTGCGGCGCCGGGATACCGTGCCGCTGACAATGAACAATGAAAACAGAATACCCAAAACAACCAAGAGGGATTGCACCGAGGACAATGGTGATCCCGATAAGAAAGGAGCGAAATCCTTGAAGGCGTACATGGTGGTATCTCGATTAAATGCTGTGTGACCGCGATCACAGCGACGAGATGAGCAGCAAGGAAGGACCAACTTGTGTGTGAACTCTGCCACCCTGAGCCGAGGGAGGGACGATAAATGCGTGCTTTCCTTGCAATGCTGGATCGGCAACATGATCAAGCATTTCTCGTCAGATCATTGGGCATGGGATGCAAATTTGGTACTGTTTAGAATATTTCGTCCCCTAACTCTGCAACATCATGGCACAGTGGTATGATGGATTACTCACCAGGTACATGACCACCCAGGGACGTAATGTATCTAGACTTGGCAAACCGATCAAATCATGCATATCCATATACCTACATAGTGCTTCCCACCGTTTTAGCCATCCAATCAGACATGCTGTGTTTGTAGATTGGGGCGTGTGGGGGATGGGCAAAGCACAGACTCACCGGTCTAAGCAGACCCAGACCCGCCGGGTAGGGGTTCCGATCCCTGCACGATGGCCAGGTACCACAGCATAGGGCGGACTTGGCTAGGCCCCGGGTTCGCGGATACCCCCGACCGGGCCGCCCTCGGCGAGGCCACGACCGGTCGGGGGTTAAAATTAATATGGAGGGGTTAAAATAAATTTTTTACCGGGGGGTCAAAAGTTAACGCTATAAGCGCCATAAATATTATAAAAAATACGTAAGCGTATATAATTATTATTTTATTTTATATATATGCGCGATTTTTCTTAAGGCTTTAATAATAATATATTAAAATACCGTAAAAATATATTTAGCATACGCGGAAAATTTCCGAATTATTATATAATAATAAATCCGAATACGAATTATTTTTATAAAAAAGTTTTCGATTTATCGCGTATATATGCTTAAGATATTTTAGCTATAATCGGGAAATTAAAAATTATAAATAAATATTAGGAATATATTTAATAAAATATCGGAATAAAAAGGATTTCGCGGAAAGCTAATAAATATAACGGTTTACCAATGGAACGTTAGGTAATAGTTAATACACTATATATTGCTATATAAACTAATTTTTGCAAAAGCAAAAATCTAATACGATTATATTGCGCTAATTATATCCAGCTATAGCGTTAGCGCTATAATAGCGGTGCGGCACCGTTGCGCAATATTTATATAAAAGGTTATTATAATTATCCCTTTTTTTAATAATAGCCGACCCGGCTATTAATTTATTTATACCGTAATTACGAAATTAGCGATATTATAGCGATAAAGATTTATTTAGCTATTTAATATTATTTTTAATATTAAAATAATAGCTAAATTTTTAGCGCTTTTTTTTTATTTTTAATTTTTTTCCTCGGCTATTATTATATTTCCTTTTTTTAGCCAAAAAAAAAACCGCCGCTTCTATATTTTCGCATTATTTTTGCGTTTATGCCTATTTTTTTTTGCGCCTATATTTTGCCGCTTTTTTTTTTTTTTAATTTAACGCTTTTTTTTTCCGACGCTATAATGCTAAAAAATAACCGCCTTTACCGCGCTAAATATAAAGCTTATTGTTAATTAAGGTGGTGCTTTCCTATTGGAGTTTAAACTGGTTTGGTATAGGTGTTAATTATGTGATATATTAATTTATATTCTACGCCTTTTAGTTTTAATAAGGTATACGCTTATTTAAGTGGCCCCGGCTAATCCCCGGGAGGTCCCGTATATTTATTTAAATATTATAGGGTTAATCCGTGTGCTTAAGCATACCTTAATATATAGAAACCATAATTTATTATTTAATATACCCCTTTAAATCTACGATTTATCGTAAATCTGGCTATATTTAAATTAAAATTGCTAATTAGCAAAATATAGCTTTTTTTAAGGCTATTCGTTTTAATTATAATAAATAACGTTAAATCTTATTTATTACAAAAAATTTTGCTATTTACCTATTAATAAGCTTTTCGTTAATTTATTTGCTATTATTTTATTTAAAGGTTTATAAATAATTTTAATTTTTTTTTTAGGCTTTTTATCGTAATTAATAATTATAAATATTTATATAATAGAGTTTTATTTTTAATAACGCGATTTCGGCGTTAATTAAATTAATAATTTGCTTATTATTATATTTAATAGTAATAATGTTATTATTTAGCTATATCGATAATTTTTTTAATAATCGGCTAACAAATAATATTTTTTTAGCAATTTGCGTTAAAGCAAATAATTTAGCTTTTATAATAAAAATAATAATTATATTTTATTTATTTAATTGCTAACTAATTAATTTTCCGAATAGCTTTATAGCGAATGCTTAGGTATTTTTGCGATCGATATTATTATCGGCAAATAATACGTTATTAGCAATTATTAAATTAAAAAATCCTCCGATTTTAAGCGAAAGTTTTTTAGTATTAATTAAATAAATTAGAGCTCGATTAATAGCTTTTTAATATATTTAATTTAGATTATTAAGGAATCGAGCTAATCTAGCTATTACGAATGCAATATTTAGTTTTATAAATATAGCCGCGAATAGCAATAATCCGATTTTTTTTTAATATTTTTATATTTTGTAAAAAAACGCTATAATTAATCGAAATATAAATTTTTCGTAGCCTATTAGCGTTATATAAATTTTTTTTTTATTTATAAGCTTAGCGATTTTTTTAAAATAAGCTTTTTAGGAAAACTAAATTATTTTAAATATACGATTTCTAATTATTTTTATTCTAAAAAAACTATTATATTAGCTTGCTACTATTAATTTTATACTTTTTTATAAAATGCTATATTAAGTAATTAATAACTTTTTTATTTTTATTTTTATATGCGATAATTATATTATTAACGTAAAAAAAAACTAATACTTTTTTTTAATAAATACGTAGGGCTTATATAATATTTAAATATAACCGATCTCGGCTAAAATTTTTATAAATTCTTTTTGCTATAATAGCGGTAATATCCGTAATTTATAAAGTGCTTTATTTAATAATAATATAGCGTTTTTTTTTTCGATATTTATCCGGCATTTTTATAAATATATTTTAATTAATAAAAGCGTATATAAACGCATTTATTACGTTATATTATATTAATTTAAGGTCGAATTTCGCTATAATCGCGATTAGGATGCGAAATAATTTTTTAGCTAATATAGCCGCGTAAATTTCTTAGTTTTAGGATTTCGCCTATTAATTATCGCGAACGATAAATTTTGCTTTATATTTTTAGAATTTTTTATACTTATCGAATTTATATACGTATATTTATATATAATTAAGGATTTATTTGCCTTTTATTCGTAAATTTTTTTTATTAATTTCGGTTTAAAATCGTATATTTTTATAATTTTATAAATAATTAGCTTTTGCTTAAAGGAATAATTTGCTAAACGGATAATAATGTAATTTATAATATTATTTAAAAGGAATTAGGATTTCCGCTTTATAAATTTTTACCCTTTAACGAAAAAAGCGTTTTAGCTTCGCCTTATCGTTTTAATTATTGCCTTATCCTGCTTTAGGAACGGCTTTATAACCAGCTAAAAAAGCTATTTGCTATAGGATTATTTTAGGTCCTTTTTTTAATAGCGCCGTATTTTTAATCGTAATTGCTTTTATGCTATATATTAATAAAGCTAATAAAAATATTTATAATAAAATCTAAAAGGCAAATTTCGCGGTAATAAAAGGGTATTATTTATTTTTTTTATTTAGCGCTGCTTTTTTATTTTTTTAATTATTATTTTTTTTTTAATCGTTTTAATTATTGCTTAGCAGGATATTTTTTGCGGCGGTATTTTTATTTTCTAATTTTTATAAGATCTCGTTTTTAAATATTGCGTAATTAGTTATAAAATCGGCGATAAATTAGGTATTAGCATTTAAGAGCTCGTTTTTAAATATATCTTATTTTTCGTTATATAATTTTTTTTCGTTTATAATTATATTTTTTATATTAATTAATTTATTTTAATTAAAAATCTAAATTTTATAAATATTAGATAACTTATATCCGATTAGGTATCCTATTTATGCTTTAGGTGCTAATTGCTATAAACGGCCGAATTTTTGTTATATTATTAGCGTTATTGCGTACGCTTTGCATCCGAATGCTTTAAAATAGGTTTAATTAGGTTTATAGCTTAAATTTAGAATTTTTTTTGCTTTTATAATTATTTTATAAAATCTTATATATAATATACGCTATCGGGAATTATAATTCGGCGTATAATTATATAAATATACCGCGGTTTTGCCGATTTCGGGCTAAAATTAATAAGGGAGTTTTACGCTAATGCGCATTACCCGTTCCTTTTTTTTAATTATACCTTTTAAGCGTTTAGTAGTTTTATTTTAGGCTTATATATATAATATTAAAGGCTCGAATTTAATATATTTATTTTTAAAGTATTTTTTTATTATTTATTTAACTTTTATAATTTCGTTATCGTATTCGATAATTTTAATTTTAATATTATATTAGGTTTTTATTATACCTAAAAACGATTAAAAAGCGTTAATTAATGCAACCGTAGTTTTTTCCGTAAAATAATAGTCCTATATATATCCCGTTTACCGATAAATAATTAGCATTTAAAATATATAATTTTCGATTTTTTTAATATAATTATAAAAATTTATAATTAGTCGTTCGCTATAATTTTTATTAATTAACCGTAGCGTTTGCCGTAATTAGCGCGTAATTTTTGCAAATACGCAGGCTTTATATTTTATTATAATTAATCCTTTAATTTTTATCTTTTAAAATAAATAAATAAAATATTCGAAAGCTACCGGGCCTAAATATCCTATTTTATAATATTATCGTATAGCTTCCCTAATTAATAATAGCCTTTTTATTTATATTATATATTTTTTCCGGTAAATAATAAATAACGCTAAAGGTAATTCGTAAGGTTTATATTCGAGGACGTATTATCCGCATTAGTTTTAAAATATATTAATTAAAAATCCAATTTTTTTACGTAATATTATAAGGTCGTTTTTATTATCCTAATAATATTTTTATCTTTAT